CGCGCTCTTTCAGGCACATCGTATAGTAGGATCTTCCTAACTGTGCTGTCTCCTAGGTGGTAGTAGCCCTGGAGCTGTTGCAGGCCTATTTTAGCGAATTTGAAGAGCCGGCGTATGCCCTCTTTGTGCTTGGTTCTGATCTCTGCACCTGGGAGACGTGGAGACATAGGTGGAGTGGTAAAAGGATCCATAATGGTGGAGTTGTTGATAGTTTAGTCCTAATGTGAAGAGTTTTAATTTCGAGGTTCTACAGCCTGAACGCACGGACTTTTGTCCCCATGTTCGTTAGGTTTCCGAAGCTGAAGTTCAGTGACTGGATCGCTAAAATTTAGGCTTAAACTCGCTAATCTTTCAGCCTTGTGGCCCTGGGTTTAGCGTCTAGTGACTCACATAGTAGGCTTTGGCTAAGCCCCCTCAGTTTCAGGGCACTCCCCATCAAAAGATAGACCTTTGGTCGCTAGATTTCCGAGTCGTTGCACTGAATCCACTGCATTCTTTCACGAACAGTGTTGTGCGTGTCCCACGATGCACAATTAAGTGAAGGTTTCTTTGGATCGAGCCTGTAGATGCGTGCGATACAAAATTAGTGTTCATATTCATTCCATGTTTGCTTATCGCTTTGCTTTTTTATCGCGTTGCCCCGCCGTTGTGTCAATGGGCAGCCTAGAAGCTTAGGGCGCTATTGCCTGAAATACAGGCTTTCACCAACGCTCAGCTTGTCTACCCTCAAGCTGCACCAGGTCGCTGAGTTCCAGGCTTGCTTGTCTCAAAATCATTGCTTTCATTACACTTCTACAATTCGAAACACTTCACTAATACAATGCTTTCATGAAAAAAAAACGTCCGGCCCTTTGCTTAAAACTATTATGAATTTCTACTTTCTCCTCTTTTGCTTCTTTCTTGGGATATCGTTTCTGTGTCTACAACAATTGTATCTTCTCTGACCTTCTTTGCAGATTCCTTCCTTTAGAATTGTTGCGAAATTTGCTTGATTGCGATCCGAGATCCTTTGCGGAAGACAGTATCCTTAGTACCAGTAACAGAGAGCCTCTCACAAGCCCGTCTCCCAATCTTCCCGAGCTTCAATAGCCTCATCGTAGCTAGGACTTGGGTCCGTATCTGTCCTTGGTGCCGGAAATTCAATAAGATCGTATTGGTATAAGCCACTAAACCCTCCATTTAGGAGTTCTGCAAACATCCTTGGCTTTCTAAATTGATCAATGTCTCTTGCATCGAAAGATGTGAGGTTGTATCCAAATGCGAGGAGGAGTGCATTTGTGCAGACGTATGCCCCACAATTGTAGGTGTCTCTTTGTCGAACGGCTTTCCTCAAAGTTTTATCTTCATTTCCGCAGTAGTCTAGATTCACTTCCCATGATTCGCGTTCGTCGTGGTCAGGAACGAGGCAAAAGAGAATTGCTAACAGAGAATCCCTCATATATGCTTCATACTCCTGAATCGGCAGGTCAACGTCAGGGTCATCTGAAGGCGTCTTTGGCTCAGCCGAGTTAATCCAGAATGCGTATTTCTGCCTAGGTGCAAATCCAAGAAGAGTATAATGTTCCCCACCAGCATCATCAAGATCGGGTCTCAGATGTGGAAGGAACAGGAAATCCATTTCCGCGAAGGTCTGTTGGGTTATGCCTTGTTGGGTCAAGATCTGCTGGGCGATGGTTGCATAAGGGTCGCGAGCCAAGGCCGCATCTCTGAGAGGTTGCCAAGAGGATTGTAGCATGCAGTGGCAACTTATTCTGGGTGGAGCAGTGCTTCCTACAGCCCGCTCGGCTTTATCCCTCACTCCGTTTGCATAGTCGCAAACCAATCTTATATACGCCTCTGTAAGGGGTATCGAGATTGTATTGCGCATGGCTTCTTTATCACCATCTGATTGTGTGGCTATGGTATCTGGCCTTGTCCGGGAATTGATGATTGTTCCAAAGTCGTTCCAGTTAAATGCGTACTCGGGTTTTCGAACAGCAATTTGGTTCAAGTCGACGTCTACGATCTTACTAGGATCGAATTTCTTAGTTCTATCAAGATCATATAATTGTGTATACGTGTATTGTTGAACAGGATCTGCCAGATTTTTCCTGTCCCAAGTAACCGAAAGCTCATCTCGACATGTGTTCCAGTATTTTTCTACTGAAGCGGGTATGGGATCGAGTATTTGCCTTTCGACGGTGGCCCGAGCAGCAGCAGTCAAAGTGGCTAGTGGGTGGACAATGCCAGTCCCATTTGTGGAGGTCATTTCGACTTGGAGATGTGGGTTGCTTCGGAAAGCTTGCAAGGAACAAAATTCACTGATGGTATTTATTCCAAACAAAGCCTTGTGAAGATAATGAACCATGAATTACGAAAACGGCGATGAAAAGGGTGGATGGTCAAATTGATTTCATTCTTTGTTCATATGAAGATCTACATCTGAAAGCGGACCCGTCATTATGTAGCCTTTGATATCGTGAGCAAAGAACTGAAAATTGGAGTTCCAAGGCCTGTTGCAGGATCCCAGCCCTATATTTGTTAGCAGATGCGATACATCCGAGAAGAATACTCACAGAAACCGCTGAGAAGCCAGCCCCACTGATCACTCCACTGCATCCAGTATTCTTCCCGCTTTTGATATCAGTCAATCCAGAAGTAGCATTGCTGTATAACCAAGGATTCAAGAAACCAAGTGGTGACTTTCCTGATGCGAGACGATCGCTGTTGAGAAGTTGAATGATACTGGCGAAAGTTGGTGTGGCACAGCTCGTTCCATCGACAAGTGAAGCACTTCCTGAAATAACCACGACGAAATCGGTTGATTGAGCCGCAACGTCAGGATATGCTCGCCCAGTCTTGTTGAAATATGCATTGTTAGCAGTGTGTGTGGTGTCTGTAGTGAGCCAACTGTTGACTGCAGCAGTTTGATAACTTGGTTGACCGAAGACCTCTGAGAATCCACCACCTGATCCGGTCCATGCTGCTTCGGGGCTATTTCCTGTAGTACCACCGACCGTAGTTACCCAAGGGCATCCTGCTGGGAAGGATGTTTCGAACATCTTAGTACCAGCGCTTGTTGTGCAAGTGCTTCCAACACCCGAATCTCCTGATGCAACGAGAATTGAAACACCTCGAGCTCCAAGTTGTGCGAAGAGATTGCAGACATTGGTAGCGTAAGAAAGTGGTACAGTGACTTCGTCATCACCGTAGGAGATGGAGATGGTGTTTGGAAGAGATGCAGCAGGGAGAGCAAGCATGTAATTGAGGAATTCGAGATATGGCTCGTTGGTGTTGGTTCCAGTACCCAACCAAGGTGGTCGTCCTCCGGTACTGTAGTAGACGTTTGGAATTGACTCGGTGATTGCTCGAGCATATTGAACATCGAGATTGGCTTCAACTCCTGCTCCGCTGGCAGCTTGAGGACATGTTCCGTTGTTGACCAAAGTGCAGGTGAAGGACTCAGCGACATTGCCTTCTGCGGCGTAGGTTGCTAGGAAAGTTGAGAGGTCAGATTTGATTGGCCATTGTTCCAAGAAACCAGCAATTCCCATGAGACCGTTGCTGTAATTGGTGGCAGTGGTGAAGCTGTAAAGATTTTGAAGACATTTTGGAGTAATTGTTGTTCCACTGCATCCAGTTACTGCCTCGACAGCTCCGGTGTTCAAGGTGCTCTCATCAAACTCTCTTTGACCAGAGATCATGGACCGCATGGCTCGTAGACCGAAGAAGGTTGTGGGTTGAACCATGTCGACATGACCTTTGAGAATTGCTGGGAGACTGTACTCTAAGGTTCGGACGGCAGCGTCTCCGGTTTTCTCATTGACTAAATTGGTCAATCTAGCTCAAGGGATCGAAGTGACGACTTACCAAAAGGTTCATACTCTGCGTTCAGCAACTTCTCGACTTGTGCGATACTTACCTCGAGAACGATGGAGTCGGCTCGAGGTGAGATTGTTGCTTGACCACTCAATCCTTCGGATCTCAACCATTGCTCAACGAGATCTCGAGATTCGTCCTTGGGAGCGATCATAGCATCGATCACGTCTTGGGAAAGGTGTTTGCCGTAGAGCTCATGTCCAGGTGTCGCAATCTTACGATATTAGCGGGGCACAAGATAGACTCGGAGTGCTCACCTTCATAGCCAAATCATGGAATTTGTCCATATCTTGGTGCACAAGATGAATTCGCAACTTCATCAATTCGCCATCTTTATCCAATCGAGTGGACTCATCCTTTGTCCATCCAGCAGGAGCAGATTCGATCTTTTCAATTATTCTCGATCCATGCGTGCTGCTGGATGTGGGGGATGCGTAAACACATGATGAAAGTGCCACAAGGACAGAAAGCGAATTGAGAATGAACATGATGCGCGAACGAAAGTAACGAGCGGATGGATTTCCATCAAAGAAAGATACCCCTCTCCCTCTATATAGTTCACCCCATCTTTAATCACGTACCTGCATCAATCTACCCGGGGGTTGACCCATCTTGTATCAATCTTCCAAGCTGCCTCTTTTAGATAATCTGCCGTTTCGCGATCCCCAGCTTAATTTGTTAAGCTTAATGCTCGTCGAATCATGTTTGGTATTCAGGTCCTGGTCCCGGCATTGGTTGCTGATAGAGCGATCGGCAGTGGATATATTGATAGATTAGGCAAGTCGTTTAAATATCCCTCGGCATCTATATGCGAGTCACCAACTCTCCTTCCGCTTCTTGACTATGCCAAGAGAAGGGTGATCTGAGTATTCAAATGAAGGATGCGGTGACCACAATTCAAGAGAAGATGCTCGAGAAAAAGATAGGAGGATCTGACATTTTACCCCTCGTTCGGCTCGGCTCGCTTGGCGAAAAGATACGTGCACGATTCAGGGGGAAGCGGCTAAACAGCGACTATATTGGCGGTGCATGACGCCTTCAGCTGCAAACTATAATGGGGATTTCATCTAAGGACCCTCATTTCTTTCTTGCAGCCTAGAATTTGTTGCAGTTTCGATGGGAAGACCGAATATAAGAATCCCAGTGATCAAGAAAAGACTACCACTAACATATACAGGGGTATCTGTCGATACGCCGGTCTGACTGCAGATAACCACGAATTCGAGATGACAAACTCCATGATGCCCAAACGTGAAAGCTTTTCATGTTCGTGACATGCTGATCATTACACAACCTCGCAAGTTCTGATGGCGCGCCATGACCTGTTTCATTTCATGCTACCTAGGTATGTAGAAATGTCAGTCTATGACATTTCCGTAGTTTCGATTATCACTCACTCAAGTCTGTATCTCGGATATTCATTGTCGATCCTATAAAGTGGCATATATGGATCGGATCTCTCCCCCAGTTCCCGCCCTTCTGCACGATATCTTAAAACAACGTGAACTCTTGCACCCTCTGTTATGCCCTGCTCTTGGAGCGTTTTATTGTTTTCGATCCGGAATACATTTTTAGTATGCTCACAAACAAGAAAATGTTCCGGCCCCCCAATCGCGTTCATCAAATCCTGTCCGGTGCTGCTAGGTTGCATCGTATACGGTGTTCTACTTCCATCAAGTTTTTTCACATCCAGACTAATCCTAGATGCCGTGCCTCCCGTTTCTTCAAAAATTGTCGAGACTCTTCCAACCTGAATATACCATCGATTGTTGCCAATTTCTTGAATGAAGATGGGCAAAGAATACTGTGAGAGGTTCGATATCTCTGCAAGACTGAGTGCTGAGAATATTGATGCCGCAGCTCTTTGCCTCGTCGATATTGTGATTGATGTTGCTGAATGACCATCCGAGTGTGTTAAATGTAGTCTCCGATAGACTCTCGAGGCTTGAAGTTCTGGATCGAAAGGGAAAGGCAAGAGTATGAACTGTTCCTCGGGCTCGGAAAGGACTTCAGGGATCCGAGTAATTGTCGTGACGCTTGCATTATCCGTACCCAAATATTCCTGCTCTACGTTCTTGATAGACTCGATATCATTGACGCTTGAGGTTGGAATAGTGGCACTTCTCAAGGTGCTTCCTTCTTCTAGTCGGCTCATCCTGATTGAAAGGGCCGAGTGGCTTGACAAGGCCTCCTCAACAAGGCTGGAGAGCCGGACAACCGAGTCTTGGATCTGTGTAGAAGAAGAGCATTGAAATATCGTCAGAATCAAATTGAGAGACGCTTTGTGGTTTTGAAGCCGTTGAACCAGGCGTTGGATGTTTGTTTCCTTCCGAACCCACTTCACTCGATCGAATACGCCTGTGATGCCGCTTCCTGCATAAACCAGGCCCAATCCATCAAGCAAAGTCTCCAGCTCATCCTTGGTCATCACACATCCTACGAGAGCTGTCGAAACATGCTCGAGAAGTACATATTCTCGCCTTTCGGGAGGGACATACAGCTGACCGTTAAGGAAGTTCTGAATTTGACGAAGTGCTGCTGCAGTATCGCAAACTTCGGTCAAGATAGCCTTGCACAGAGGTGGCGCATCTGAAAGACGGCTGATCTGGGTTAAGATTGCTGTGAGTTTACTACCTGCGGCAATGAGACTAGCAACTGAAGTGGCGATGGACAAAGGATCCATTGCGACGCGAGTCAAAGGTACATCGTGCAAATTGAGCTGAAGACAATCATTATTGTCGTCGAGAAGTTGGGGGCTTGGCTTTATAATGAGGTGCAGGAAGCCTTGCGATGAATGGAGGCTGAGCTAAGGCGCTGTTACACATGCCATCTGGAAAAGGAAAAATAAAAATAACAACGTGTAACCAATGCTTTGGGGGACCAAATTCGAAAAATGTTGCAAGTAAATTTGCTGTTTATACTTATTTTCGAAGAAAGCAAAATGGTCTAAAACTAGACCACCATCTTTCCAGCTATTCTTTCAAGTAAGAGTGAATGATAGTTTTTTAGTCCTATTCACTAGAATTGCGAGTCCTCATTCATCTGTGAAGTGAAAGAATTGGATGAGATATGAAGCTTGATAAAGGAAGCAGGCGTTATCAATACCCCGCATCTACAGTACCGTAGCGCTGCCGACTCCCGAGATCGTTCATGTGGGGTAAATAAATCACCACTTCAGCTCGAGATGTCTTCATCATCTTCAATCAACGAAATCATGGCAACAGAAACTCAAACACGCACGCAACCAGAAGTCCTCACCTTCTCAACCCTCCCACCATTTCCAGCAGATATCCCCACAGCTCCTCTCCACAGACTTTCACTTTCCAAACTTCGAAGTGAATCCCCGGAATCTGAACGCTTGTTTTCATCATGCAAAGACCTCGGCTTCTTCTATCTTGATTTAAGACAAGACGATGAAGGTGAATCGTTGTTAAAGGATGCCGATAATCTGTTCAACCTCGCCCCCAAGCTGTTCGACCTGGGAAGAGACGAGCTCCAGAAATATGACTACAAATCGCAGGGAAGTTATATGGGATACAAGCGGTTTGGATCTGCTGTTGTAGATGAGAAGGGGAATTTGGATAGAAATGAGTTCTACAATGTAAGTCTTGATGCAAAGTCCTAGGCCATGCTAACAGTATAGATACCGAAAGATGACTTCCTCGGCATCAGCTCCAAGCCCTTCGCTCATCCACAGGTCCTTCACGATCATAACTCTCTCATCACATCATATATGCGCACCTCGCATTCCCTCGTCGTCTTCATCCTTCGCCATATAGAGAATCACCTCCATCTTCCAGCAGAAACAGTCACCTCACTCCACCGTCAAATGCAAATCTCAGGCGATCAAGTCCGATTCGTGAAATCACCTCCTCAGCCTCCATCCGATATGCGTACTGCCTTAGGGAAACATACCGACTTCGGCAGCATCACGATCTTGTTCAATCGGCTTGGAGGTCTGCAGATCTTGCCTCCGCCTTCTCTGACTCCAGCTGGACAAGAACCTCAATGGACTTATGTCAAACCATTGCCGGGACATTGTATTGTCAATCTGGGAGATGCGATGGTCAAGTTCACAAACGGGTTATTAAGAAGCAACATCCATCGAGTTGTGAGTCCACCTGGTGAGCAGGCCAAAGAAACGAGGTATAGTTTGGTATATTTCTCGAGACCAGAGGATGAAGTGATTCTGAAGAGGTTGGAGGGTAGTGATGTTATCCCTGAGCTTCGAGACGGCGAGAAAGAAGAGGAAGTAAATAGCAAGGAATGGATTAAATTGCAGGCTATGAGGTTGAGAAACGTTAAGGAGGGAATGAGCGACGAGGATAGGAAGAAACTTTGGCAAGAAGCTGGAAGGGGGACATGAATGTTGCGGTCATTGTGTTGTAGATATGTACCAAGAAATTGTAGAACATTCAATCCGCGGGTATCAAAATTCAATCAAAACCTTCAAAGCTTCATGCTTCGATGCTGCACCAAAAGTATTATATGCTTCCTCCATATCCTTGAAAGCGAATTCTACACGAGCAAAGTTAGCCCGTGCCCATCTTCCATGTGGGTTGAATTCGTTTCTCAACTCACTGTGAGTAATCAATTTTGATGGATCTAGCTTTCCCGAAAGTGCCAGCTTGAGAAGCATAGGTGTAGTGACGGTATCGACGAGGCGAGTAGTAATTGCTGAGATTGTCAGCACAAGTCTTCCAACAAAGACAATACGCACCAATATTCTTTGCCCACAGATTCTCAAGATGTAAATCAACTTTTGTTCCATGTACTCCAACATTGGCAATCACACCTCCAGGAGCAACAAGGTTCTGGCAGAGATCGAAACTCTCAGGTATACCAACAGCTTCAATTACAGTATCACATCCTTTCCCTTCTGTCAAAGCTTTCACAGTCTCTGCAGCTTTTCCATTCGTCGGATCAATTGTATGATGTGCCCCGAGTGATTTAGCCACTCTTAATCGATTGTTGTCCATATCGATGACGATGATTGTAGAGGGAGAATAGAGTTGAGCAGTAATCATAGCAGCAAGACCAACAGGACCAGCACCGACAATAACGACAGTACTTCCAGGTTGAACTTTGCCATTGAGAACACCGCATTCAAGGCCAGTAGGAAATATATCGCTCAACATGACCAATGCAGCTTCGTCTGCTCCTTTGGGTATTGGATAGAGGGAGGAATCGGCGTGAGGAATTCGAACGTATTCTGCTTGCGTGCCATCGATTGTATTTCCGAGAATCCAACCTGCAGATGTTAGTATTGCCACATGCCATGAATAAGTCCCTACCTCCAGTTGTACAATGAGAGTACATTCCCTTCCGACAATATTCGCAGGTAGCACAGGAGCAGATACAAGATATCAAGACATGTTCTCCTTTCTTGAATCCACGAACTGATTCCCCCGTCTCCTCAATTATGCCAACACCTTCATGACCAAGAATGGTACCCGTCTTGCAGGTTGCGACGTCCCCTTTGCTAATGTGAAGGTCCGTCCCGCATATCGTGGACTTGGTGAGTTTGACAATTGCGTCGGTTGGTTGGGAGATTCTTGGAATTGGACGCTCCTCCAGCTTTACATCTCCTACTGATCGGTATACGAGAGCTTTCATTGTCGAGTAGAGAGCTTGGCGGATGGGTGGACGAAAGATTTGGCCATTCGAGAGATGTCGTACTGTTCTGAAGGTTTGCATCATGGCGGTTTCGATGGTCGAGAGAAGAGAATGGGCGACATGTCTGCAGGATGGTGAGGATACATAGTGGAATGCGGGGTCCGGGAATGTTGGTTAGCTGAGGGGTGGGATGATAACTGGGGATCGAATGATGCTTGAGGAGGTTGATGTTTGACGGGAGGAGAGGAGCTTGGGCCACCAGGGCGTTGTCAATTCCCAACACTGGGATCAGATGACGGACTTCAATCTTTCCTCGGAATCCACAAGATCATTGGAGGCATCGAAGGTCCAGCCATGAAGGGCCATGTCGCGGGAATGCCCTTCAAGAAGCACGCTGTAAGTGCTGCAATGTTGGTCCTCATGGGGTGACAACCCAGCGAATGTCCGACAATCTCTGGTGCCTTCAATGTTTAAATTTGTGCTCAATATTCCTGAGACATTCTCCGAACAACAATGGTGCAGCAACCTGGAACTATTTATACTTGCCAACGTAGAGGAGTCGATCTCAAGTACTGTCCTCGAATTCTCTTCTTCATCTCTTGCGTTTGAAGCAGTCAGCAGCTCATATCTATACCAAAACCACAGCACATCACAACTTCACATTGGCTTAAAGCACAATCTTGCACTTGAATTCTGTCCATTGTTCATCAAGCATGCTACCGTTATGTCCCCACTGACCCTCTACAACTCTTACAAACACACTCGAGCAAGTCCTGCGATCTCCATCCTCAATTCCAGTCTCCTCCCCACAAAAGCTCTGCCTGAGAATATGTTGATGCGTCTTTCCTTGTTGCAAAAGATCCTGTGGAACGTAGCCGAAGTGGCAGCTGATAGGATTGCTTTTCTTGTACCTATTCCTTAGCTCCCGTCTGGCTGTTGCCTCTGGGAGCTTACCTATGGCTTCCATCCAGGCCTGACCATGCCTACACCGGGCTGGTAGACGGTTCGTCTTTGTTCAACAAACCATGGGTTATACTTCAGGAAGGTCTCCAAGGCCTCAGCGTCGTCAGGATCTTGTCCAAGCCTCTTATACGCCTCCATTGTCTCCGGAGCTTTGCTTTTTATATTCGTTCTCTTGCCCTTGCCTATTCCGCTCTTCACGATGCTTGCAGCCATGCGCCGTTGCATTCGTCGACGCCTAGCTTCCTTCTTGGTCGCCGCTCTATCATTGTTCGACTTATTGCGTTGCTTTCTGCCTTTGGAGATAGCTGGAGGTTGATCTAGAGGCTGTGATGCATAGAATTCTTCGAGTTTGACTTTGCCATCTTCGGATTTCATGTATGCGCTGCCGGTGTCTGGGTGCTCGGATTTGATATATGCATTCACACTGTGGATTTCGTTTTCGGTCTCAGACTTGATGTAGGGATTCACACTGTGGAGTTCGTCTCGGGTCTCAGACTTGATGTATGGTTCGGTCTTAATGTGGTGCTGCTCCATCTGCGGATGTTGTTAGCTTTGGCTGAAGAGTACGATCAACATCGGAGAAGAAGCAACGCGCGAAGATTAAGGCCTGTACCTTTGATGTTGATCTGATCACAGCACAGCCTTGCCAGCTTCGGGGCGTGAAAGTGGGACGCGACCAGATTGAAACGCGTAACTTTCCGCGGAAAGTGAAGTGGGAAGACACTACTGCTTCTGGAAAATGGCTTCTTGATGGTGACAAGTTGTGTGATAGGTGTTGAAGGTTGTTGGATACTGAGGAAGGAGAAGATATTGGAGGTTGAGAGGAGGGGCAGAATTCCTAATCTGTATGGTCTGTCCAGATTCGGCAGGAACGAGGACAAACGACAGCAGCAAAGAAAGGCAAAAAGAGACTGCAGCACAGCATCAGTTTTCATCATCTTTACCTCTGCAAAATTTATCCAACACTGAGCTTGGGCAATTGCGTAAGACTTTTTAGGCTTCTGCCTCTCAACTATTTGAAGCCACTGATCAGGATGAAAATCTACATAGGCAGCCTGAAAGGACTTGAAGAAAATGAACATAGACATCACCCGGACTTCAATTCGCAGATTCAATCCGAATATGGAAGAAGGAATAAGATTCTACTTGGCATCCAGAGATTGAAGTGCTATATCATAACAAATTCTCAGTTTGTGGATACTGACATTTGAGCACTTCAAATCAACTCAACAAGAGCGCATCATCAAGAGACAATCAACGAAATTCGCGGCACTTTCGTCGGTATCTCTCGCTCTTTCTCCAACAACTTTGCTGAAGCACAAGGCCAAGTGGTTTGCAGAAGTTCAGCTCATGGTCTGACTGCCCATCATACCGCTCTCAAGGGTATGCCTAGCTCCCACTTTCAATCATGAGAATCTTCAAATGAAAATCTCTCTTGACAACAGCTTCTCTACCTTCGTGCATGTGCTTCAATCGACTCCAACAACGGCAGCCCGCCCGTTCCACTAGCGGAGCCTCGACTTCTTCGCAATATACGCAGCGCCACCGAAACCCGAACTTCCGTGAGGTTGAGGCGCTTCGGAAGCTTTCTTCCTGTGGAAAGGTTGCCAATGAAATTCCAATGATTGGCCAGTGCTAGTAACAAGCTTCTTTCTACTTCTCGACCACGGGCGAGCCAGTACATTTTTATCTGTACGCCCGCATCCAAGGAGTCGGGCAATGCATCTTCAGCTTCAAAATTGTCCCACTCAAGTACCAGAGATTGTTCATCGGCTCATTCTCCGACATCCACGTGCGAAATGCCGTTATCTGACTGGACTGCCGACATTTCGGTTGTGGCGGGGTTGGACAGCGTTCTGCAGATCCCCGCTGAATTTCTTCTCCACCTTCCCTTCTAGAAGTTTTTCTTCACTCTTTTTTGGCTCGATCATCAGGTACAAGGTACAAATTGCACAAATCAACCTTGCCCTGGTTATACGGCATCTTAAAGCAGCTTGGCGAAGTCCGTCTTACGACCTTCAAGCTTACCCTATTGTGTTCTGCATTATCCAGTTAGATGGCCTTACCAAGACCATGTGCAATAGCCGACGAGGAATCTTGGTAGAAATGGGAAGGTGAAGATGTTCTTCAGGGTCCATCTTTGCAAGGCTCAAGTGGAAATACTGAACGAAATGCAGAGTTCATGCAGCCTCGTCGTGCTGCTTTCAGTGAACTCCATTCTCTATGCACATCCTGTCCTATTGCAGTATACACGTGCATCGGAGCTCCCAGCTCAAGGTAAGGCTTCCAAAGTTTTGGTAGCTATATATTCTTCGGTACAGCCTCAAGGTTCCTGAGACAGCCGCTGTTCCAAGAAGCCCAAAGCAGTCAAGATGGTTGGACTCAAGTTCGCAACTGTGGCAGCCTTGTCTGGTCTTGTAATTGCTACTCCAGCTACAATCGGATACAAAGGAGACTGGAAGAGCAAGATCAAGAATGTTGTCGTCTTGGTCGAGGAGAACAGATCTTTTGACACCTTTGCTGGTGGTCTTTCGTACACCTCAGGGATCAATGGATTATTGCATCACAATTATTGCAACTCCATGTGAGTTACGAAGGCTGAGGAATTGAGCGAGGCTGACAAAATTAGGAACGCTTCTGACCCCGCTCAAATGGGCGATGTCTGTGCAGGACCCCGCGCCAATGATGTTGCCCCGGATGATCCAAACCACAGCATCAGTGGTGTCAACATGCAGAGTATGTACGACGAATGTCAATTGGATTATGCTAACAATTTCAGTCTTCAGTACATGGCATCCAGACGAGTCCAAAGCCGATTCACGAATCGAGATCGAGAACATGCGTGGATTCGTTACTGAACAATCTGTGGCATACGATACCCTCAACAAAACTCGAGCAGCTGAAGTCCTCAACTACTACACCTCAGATCAAATTCGTGTCTTTGGTACAATGGCTGAGAATTTTGTCCTTTTCGATAGGTGGTTCGCTGCCGTCCCTGGTCCAACGAACCCGAACCGTGCCTACATCACCTCGGGAACTTCACACGGTCACGGAAAGAACGACAATGCTTTCAATGTTTATGGTCTTCCACAAAGATCCATCTTTCAACAATTGTCAGAGGCTGGCATCACTTGGATGAACTACCAAAATTCCACTACGGGTCCAGGACTTGGATTCAACCCTGATGCAGCTTTCTACAACTGGACTTATACTTCTGGAGCATACAAGACCAACATCGCTCCTCTCGATCAATTCTACGCTGATGCCAAGGCTGGAACTCTTCCTCAGTTTACCTACATCAATCCAGAATGTTGCGATTACCAATCTTTCCACCCACCTTCTCCAATCACTCTCGGTGAACAATTCATCAAGGGAATCTACGAAGCTGTTCGTGGTTCTCCACAATGGGATGAAACTCTTTTCATTCTGACTTTCGACGAGCACGGAGGTTTCGGTGACCATGTCCCACCTCCAACTGGTGTCCCAGCTGGTGATGATGTTCTCTATACCGAGACTGCACCAGACGGAAAGAACATCACCTTCAACTTTGAGCGTCTTGGTGTTCGTGTTCCGACTCTTCTCATCTCTCCATGGGTTCAAAAGGGATATGTCGAGCACAAGGGTAGCAACAATGGTGGAGAGTATACTCATACTTCCATTCTTGGTTTCCTGCAGAGCCTTTGGGGGTTGGATACTTTGACTCCAAGAGTTTCGTACTCGAGTACCTTCGAGCATCTGATTACAGATGATCTCAGAACTGATACTCCTGCTACGTTGCCTGATCCTTTCCCATACACTTAGATACGAAGTTATGATTCATGAACATAGATAGGGAGAGCAATAATGTTTAAAGGTTGTCTTACGTGCCGTCAATCCACTCTCAATTGATTGATAGCTACAAAGACAAATGCTCCATCTGAACGCCTGACGACTTAGATACGTTTGAAAGTAGAAACATACCTGCCACGATTCCTATCCAGCCTATAATAGCTCGGATGCTCTGCATAGCCCAAGTCTCTCAACGGCTCCGGGTTCTGAATAGTGGCATAAAGCATCTCCTCTAGTGATAGCCTCTCTCCATCAAGACCGAAGTTCCTAGCCACCCCAATCCTCAATAAAGCAGCCATGCACTTCCAATCGATTGTTTGCATGAGATCTTCCTCGCCCTGTGGAACTGCATAATCAAAAACGTGACCGAATCCCAGCTCCTTGTTCCCTCCCTGGTGTGGAACAGAAATCGGTACATCCTTGTCGTCGCGAACCGATATTTGTCCCGCAAGGTGGTACCATTTGGTCTGATTTTCGTCGACATCGCTCCAACTAACAATATCGACAAGGACGAAGAATGCGTTTGGGACGCTATTTCGTAAGCGGGAGGCTCTTAAGAACCGGGCAAGACCGGCGTATGGAGTGAAATCACGTCTCCAGCAGAGTTTATTCCCTTGAACCGAGTTTGCCCCATGTGTAATAATGGCAGCTGCAGAACGGCCGGTTGTGATTATCGGAAAGTATGGGCCCGAGGCATGAGTCGCATCGCCCAGGGTTGGGGAGCTTGCGAGAGCGCATGATAGACGTTGGGATTCATTTGCATCTTCAGATGGAATGTGACGGGCCCAGGAAATGGCATTGGTGGATTGGGGTGAGTCTTCAGTAGGAACTGTGATACTGTAGATGCCGTTGCTTGGGAAATTGATGGACATCTTGAAGATGGTGTCGGAGGTGATATCGAAAATCAGGATTGGATGAATCTTATATGGGGGCTTATGTGTTGCCATGAAAGAATACGGGGAGCTTTCACTTACTGTCAGAAGGAGGGGTTCTTGTGCACCATTGAAAGTGAGGATTGCAAGTCAATGAAGTATTTTCAAAGAGGAAATGTTCGACAGCTTGTGGATCTTTGCTCTGAATTGCAAGAACTTTCCAGGAACAACCGACCAGAACAATGCAATGAAACTTCTTCATTAAACTATGAGGGATCCAGAAGGGTATCAGATGCTTTGAATAGATTTGAAAAGACAAAAGTAAGCGCAAGAGCAGCTTTCAAGACAATTACCAAAGAGATAGTCACCTCCTTAACTTCCAGCTTCCTCACCAGCCTCTGTAATACTCCGAATCACCGAAAAACGCGTAGTCGTCAACGTCTCTGAACCTCAAGGCTGCGGATTGAATACTCGCGCACTAACAGTTCGTGCTCTCCTGTATGGTGGTTCATGTCGAACGCGCCTTGGACGTCGATAGTAGCTACCATGCTCATCAGAAGGTCCTGCCCATGCCGTCAAATGATTTCCATCAATATCCACTTCTTCAAAATCTCCAGGTGGGACAGATTCGATGACATTATTGATCACGACTTCTCGAAGAGGCGGACTATGATGAGTTTGATATGAAGGTTTGCTCGAACTATCGACCGTCGTCAGTGAGCAACCAAAAAACATCCAGTTATGGGATAGCCTTGTACAAAGTCATCTTGAACCCCCGCTATTGGATAAATAAGAGAACAAGTGATCTGATCGGTAGCATGGGCGGTTGATTGGGTGATTGTCATGAGATAGGTCGGCGGTCAATAACCCTGAAGGTGATCTTCGCCACCCCATTGCTTCTTCTTGGCGTGCATGTTTCAACGCTCCACTGCGGGTTGAAGGGGGTCAGCGCAGAGTAGTATGCACTACCCACACACATTTTCTTCTGCGATACGAGAGATGCTGAGCCATTTTCGAAGTCCTGCCATTTTCCTTCTGAAAATTTGACGCCTCTTGTGCCTTCAATTGTCCGGATCACGGGATTGGTAGCCCAGACTGCACTGCAAAGGGGATTTGAAGTCAAAACTCTGGCAACACCTAAGAAAGGGGGAAGGATTTTGGTTCCCTGAGTCTCCTGTATCCGGACCGACCGACATCAACCTTTCCCACATTTCCTCCCCACAATCCTATCTCACTTTCTCCTTCCCACTTCATCGTATTCTTCGGCATCTTCAACCGCCCAGAAATATCCATGACATTGACTCCCCAACCCCGCGTTCTCAGCAATCTGGAAAACGCCACAACATCTGGACTTCGATACGGACACACATTCTCCCGGAGTTGCATCCATAGATGTCACCACTCAAGAAGACTTTGCCATATGGATTCTAGCTTTTGTCAACCCCCTGCTTTTTCTCTGCTTTTCCTATCGATATACTCCGCACTAAGGTAGCGCCCCGGCCACTCAGTTGGCCTAGCGTCACGCAGCTAGGCACTGGTGGCACAGGCGGTTCATCCACTATCTCTCACCCGGACCACTTCTCTACCCCTCCATCCAACCACTGAATAGCCGACAAAATCTCTCCGCCTGAAACTGCACGACCTTCCTCAACAAACAGTGCAGACAGAAGGCGAGAGAAGGATCGTCCACAAGATTTTTAGACCTACACCGGACACTTCTGAATTGAACCGGTCCATGATAGGTTTAACTTTTGTCATTCTTTCTAGTCACCCAGCCAATTCCATTTCTATTTCAGGGAGTCTTCAGGGTATCTTTCACGCTTGTGGTCCAATGGTGTAGGTTTACCAACCATCCGGACCTCCACAAAGCCGTCATCATCGATGCAGACCACATGAAAATCGTTGTTGGAGCCGATGGTGTAGCTGTAGTACTTTGCGTAGCTCTGATCGACATTTGTTAAAGGCTGCCTGCCTCCTGATTTCATGAAACCTCCTTAGTGCAACTTGATAATATATATCTCGTGGTACCTTCTTCTTTTTTAATATTCAGCATACTGCACTGTTCACTCGCTATCAAACATGCAGATCACACTCGCTCTCGCCACCTTGGCCACTGTGGCCTCTGCCGCCATTGGAAGTTCTCCAACTGCTTCTGCACCTGCTGGATGTTCCACAAGTTATTCCGGTGCATTCGAGATCACCATCTTGAACTCGACAACGCCAGTTGCTAAGAAAGCCAAGGTATGTTTACTATCATGATTGAAAGGGTTATACTAACTTCTTCAGCGTCAATCGACCACCTGTGGACAAGCTGGTTACCTGACTGTCACCTTGGCGGATAGTATCCTCAAGGACTCTCAGAACCGTCAAGGAGAAATCGTTGCCAACTACCAATTCCAATTTGACAACCCTCTTCAATCAGGCGCTGTCTATACTCAAGGCTTCTCAGTCTGCAACAATGGTTCATTGGCTCTTGGTGGATCAAATATCTTCTGGGAATGTCAAACATCTGATGGACCAGGTATTGGTACCTATTACAACTTGTACTCTCAGAGTACTGGTGCTCAATGCGAACCTATCCTGATCAACATCATTCCTTGTGACGATTCTTCCAGCACTTCGACCGGTGTCGTTGGACAATCAAGTGATGGACAGCCAACTGGTACATCTGTTGGTTCAGTTGTCAGCCAAATCACTGATGGTATGTCATCTCAACTCATCATCCGTTCCGACTAACATCTTTAGGTCAACCTCAAGCTACTGGAACTCCTGGTTCAATCACCACTGCCCCTGTCTCTCAGATCAGTGATGGTCAACCACAAGGAACCACCATTGCTCCAAAGCCAACTGGATGTGTTGTTTCTCAGATCTCGGATGGACAAATTCAATTCATTACCAGTTGCCCAACACCTACACCTACCCCTGCTTGTGTTGTCTCTCAGGTATGTTGTTCCGATCACGCTGAGGTTCAATGCTCACTCTCTTAGATTTCTGATGGCCAAGTTCAATACACCAGCTGTGCATCCACTCTGGTGACAAGCGCTCCTGTCTCCCAGATCTCCGATGGCCAAATCCAAGCCACTACAGCCACCAGTGCTCCAGTATCTCAAATTTCTGACGGACAGATTCAAGCTACCACTGCCACCAGCGCTCCGGTTTCTCAAATCTCTGATGGCCAAATTCAAGCTACCACCTCTGCTCCCTCGGTCGCCTCGACCTCATTGGCTGTTGTTTCTCAGGTATGCACTCTACTCAATGATTTGTGTTCATCTTCTAACGTTTCCAGATCTCCGATGGACAACCACAAGCTCCCAATGCCACTTCCACACCTCTTCAGGTCACTGGAAACTCCGCAACCAGTCTCAATATTGCCAGCACCTTTGCTGCTGTCATGGTCGGTTTCGCTGCTATGCTTCTCTTGTAAAATTGAGAAGTCAGCTCACCAATTCGATACATACTCAAGGTTTGGGTTGTATTCAACACATCACGAAAAGGGGTTCGCTTAGGTAAGCGAATGGAATGGATTTATGAATAGCATCTTTGGACAGCATCATCATGCATAGCATTTGGGAATCCGGTATCAGGCGGAGGATTAATTGGATTTTGATAATGGTGTGACGGTAATGCCGATAATGTCTTGTACATAGTGAGAAACAAATCAAGAAAACTTGAAACAAATTTTTGCGTCATTTGCACATCACTATCAAAAACCTGTTGATCGTGATGATATGAGATTTTGATCTTCTATATCTCCGATGTTGTACCGCACTCAGTGTTTCGGATGCTCGATTGAGGGTCCAATCATACGCTAGAATGTGGACGTAAGTTGATCGCAGTTCCAAACTTTCTTTGACGTCTGTCAAGTTTACTAAACTCCGTCATCTCACCGTGAAAGTCCTCAGCGGATTTTCTCTTCAGTCGGATCTACAAGATCGCGCATGTCAAGTTCCGATCAAGGACTTCCCCATCCTTCAGTCACCCCGATCTAACTCCATTTGAAGTTCCGTACAGTAGCAGAGCTTGAGAGCCGCACTACCACTTGCATTAGAGAAAAAACCGATCGCTTTAGGAAGCTAAATAAGCTTCCTTATCTAGAGACAAGGAAAGAAGTCCTCGGATAACACCCCGCAGGTCAATTAACCATTCATATGCCGTAAATTATCGACAGGATTTTCTTGGAAGGGTCAACTCAAGCAGATACGAGAAGATGATCAGTGCGGGGAAGCTTCATGCATGTGCTTTGACTGACAGGAAAATGGTGAAGATCTGCAAAGTGTGCATCCCGCTCGGGCGTGGAGCATACTAGAGTTTAGCTTCAAGAATAAATACGACGACGCTAAAATCGAGCGTGAATAGTATCGTGCTATTGCGGGATGAGTTAATGATGCATGAAGGGTCGAGGGTCAAGGACGTCATTGATACTTTGACGATCATGATTTAGTCTCGAGCTGAACGATGAGAGCGATGCCAAGTATGACATTGTTGACTTGGAGAGTTTGAAGAATTTCTGTCGGACGGACGCACTTTGCACAACGGTGGTAGATCAAAGTTTTAGCTTTTAAGCAGTCCTCGAGCTGAGCGCACTACTCCTACTTGCTCAGCAACTAGTTACCCACAGAGACAAGCCATCCATTTCATGATTCCTCTATGTCTAAGAACTGGTACCTTGGAATGATGGATCTCTTCTGAAGGTTGAAATAACAACATCATCTTCGGATTCTTCCAACAAGCAAGGCCCGCCGAGGTATCCCAAAGACTCTAGAGGATTCAAATTCGCACCTTTCCGTTGTGTATAAACAAAAGCCTCAACTCGTGAACCATCAATATTCCACGTCATCTTTACCTCGTGAGCAATAATGCCGACCACACATGCCCAACCAACTGTTGGGAGAATATCTTCGTGGGGAGGTGTTGGTATTGGTATGTTGAAATAGATCACCGCACGCATACTATCGACTTCCTCTGTGGTGTCACTGGTGTGCAGGAGGGTTCTGCCCGCACCATCCAGAGCCCATAACCCCAGGACGATACAGTAGAAGTCGAGCTGCACATCCTGCACCCCACAATCCTTGGTTATAGCCCAAATCTCCATTCGGATTCCAGCGATTCCTGGGACAGTTTCGAGACCGTACTGTGCTAGGATGCGTTGAAGATCGGTCGGATCTTGGATCAGAGTGTTCCAGCAACACTTTCTGGACCCCGCAAAGTAGGGACCGGTAGCATGGGGTTGAGAAGCTATAATTGCAGAAGTGGTGGCATCCAGAAGTATGCAATGCAATTTCGTAAGAACAGGCGCAGCGTTTGATGGTCGGTGACGACCCCAGTCGAAGAGGTCTGGTGTTGCCAATGGTGGTTGAGACATAACGACGACCTTTGGTTGAAATGAATTGAGGTAAGATGGGGATTTATATCCATTTCGCTCTCTTTGGCAAAGAGGGTGGGCACATTCCTCGAGAATAGAAGCACAAAGACGGCAGTGTTAGTTCACTTTGCCGACCACATGTGGCCACTTGATATTCAGAATGCTTTGCCGTTGGGATAGAGCTCTGCTGCGTTGACAACTCGCGTATCTTCACGCTTGTTGAATATGTTGAAAGCATTATCCATAAAACTTGATTGAAAGAGACGAAAGTTAGGAGCGATACCCTTGCTCCTTCGATGGATTGATATTCTCAAATAACCTTTCCATAACTATGTCATCACATGCAGGTTCTCCGTCAGTGTTGAATCCGATCTTGGCGTAATGTGATATGAGATTCGCAATGCAAGACCAGTCGAGTTTTTGTACGAGATCTCCTTCCACGGATCCTGGCCAATTGAAAATGACAGTAGTTGTCAGAAACTTTTCTTTTCCATCGTGATCGACTCTCTTGGTCCGTTGATTTCTAATGTTTCGAGCTTCAGCTTCTGCCCATATCGTGTAGAATGATTTATTTTCAATTTCCCTCATCGTGGTGAAGACGCGAAAAGAGATAGGACCAGACTCGCAGGCTCTTCCCATGCCGTATGACTTGAAGAGTTGAGATGAGTTTGGAATTTCGACAAGCCAGCACAGCTTGAATTCGTTGGTGAAATATGGTCCTTCCTCGTGTACATCGACAGCAAGATGTAGAAGTCTCTTGGAGTCTGAAGAGGTCGAAGTCGTTCTGGAGGTAAGAGCATTAAGGAGAGCACAACGAAGGCGAACAAAATCGGAGGCTTTAGATACTGGTTTATGGCTCCCCCATTCAACTCGGAGTTGATTAGCATCGAGAGGGGGTGCTTCCGCCGACATGGTTGGTGTTGCGTTGCAAGAGAGTCAGGGGAGGGTGGACAAATATTTGTTTGATCGAGAAGAAGTAAGGAACTAAGAACAAGCTCGGCCTAAGAGGACAATAGAGTGAATATGGTTCAGGGCACGAAGGTAGAAGAGTGAATTAAACCTCGATCTCTTGAGCCATACTTACAACGTCCAAAGGTAAGTGCCAGCTTCCCATGTGTTGTTCTTGAGCAGAAATTTGCTGCTATGAGGGAGAATGCTCCAGGTGGCAGAATACAAGAGATCGTGGAAATTCTAGCACAGCTATTCTCCTAGCCCTCACTGACTTCAATGTTTAGATTGCTGCCAATGATCGATCCGAGAACAAGCATTGACCCGACGTTCACTTCTCCAAAGCGATCCCTCCATCCTATCTACCCACCAAAAGACCTCAAACAGACCCAGACGATTTCATACAATGTTTGCAACTCTTCAGAAGCGTTTCCATGCTTTCCCATTTGGCTAATCAAATGCACTTCAGACATTAACCTGGATTCAAGTTATTGTCATACATGAATGCCGATCGTTCCTCTCCAACCTGGTCATATTTGCTCCCTCCTTCATGCTTCAAGATACTAACAATCGAATCCCAGCCCCATCCTACTGGGAATGCAACATTGACACATGCTGGCCACATGACCACAATGCTGGCTTGAATGGAGAAAAGTATCCCTGAGTTGAGGCCTTCAAGTATCGTATATTTCGCCCTCATGGCGGTAGCTTTTGCCTCAATGATACAGAACATTGGAACATCGAGCTGTAGGTCGCGATCAGCTCTCCCGAGAGACGTTTCGATGGAGAATCGAATACTGTGGACGTGAGGTTCCGTATCAAGAAAATATTCAGGGAATTCGGACGCAAGCATTTGGATCAAGACACAGAGTTTAAAACTCATTGTGAAGAAAGGTCCTTGGATAGGAGTTGGAGGCAATGGGTAGAAGAAGTCAAGAAGAACACATCGGAGGCGAGTCTCCAAATCAGCATCTGGTCTGGGTATGTGTGAGTCCCACACAGTTGAGAGCTGCTGAGAGCTGGACATTTTGATGGATTGAGCCAATTATTTGACTGACATGGTCGAGCAAGGCATCTTATACATTCTCAACACTTCAGTCCATGTTTGCCAGAGATAACAAAGGAAATCCAATTCATTCAATCTCCAAAGGCGTCCAAACGCCTCTCCCCATGTCCTCTTTAACCTTCTCCCTAACCATCTCGTCATTTTTCACACCACAATATCTCAACCATTCTTTCTCCCCTTCTTTATCATCTCTACCTACAGCACAATTCCTGAAAGGTGATCTTGCAAACCAATCTACATACACCACATGGGATGTGAAATACCTCATGATCCAATAAACGAATTGCTCAATGCTTACTGTCCCCTGAGGTGGACCTTGATTGAGGATATTGGCAAAGAGGTAGATATCTTTTAGATCTTTGGAGAAACTCCCTCGGTATGGATCTTTGGTTCTCGTAGCTTCTTCGTAAAAGCTTCGGACATTCTCAGTAAGTTTGAGATGAAGCATATGATCCTTTCGGTCATCAGAATGACATAATGGAGCCATAAGCATTGATATTCTGAGGAGAGCATGAGAGAGTTCGATCCCAGCATTCAGCCATGTTTGGAGGTTGAAAGGATTATGAAATGGCGGAAGGGAGACGAGGTATGAAGTGAGATTTCGGGCAAGGATTCCGAAATAATCGTAAATATAGCGAGCGTGGATGCCTTTGAAAAGATTGCGTGGACCCTGATCTAGAATAAGGATGACACCGACTGCATTATGGAGGAAAGTTGGTTGCTTTGGAGAACCGAGGACGGAAATGATATCTTTGGAGTGGATGTTTGATAGGCCGATCTTGGACAGCGAGATCAGGGCATCTTTGACGGGCGGAGTAGTCCAAAGAGGAGCGGAATCTGTACGAAAGAATACATCCCCCACATCAGATCCATCAAGTTTACTGTCGAGTGGCCATGGGAAGGTAATGTCGTTGGCGTATCCGATCAAGGATGGCGTGAGGATGCCCGAAATCCCCGACTTTGTTGGGCCAGGATAATTCATTCTTGGTATGAAAGACGGATGTCCTCAAAATATATTTGTAGTGCTGATTTGACGTGCTGCCTAGAGCTTCCACCTTCCCCAACAAGGAAAGGCCACGAAATCAACGACAGCTTCACTTTCCACTTGGAACGCGGATCAAAGCAGTGCAAATCGAATCGCGCGAAATATCTCCATTTTTGATGTGAATCTCAACGTCTAGTATAAAACTCGCTTTGGAAATCACGCTTCCTATTGGATTGCTGGTCGAAGAAATTCCAAATCAATACAACGCCTTACTCCTTGTGGTATCATGATCCAGAATCATTCCGTCTTCCACAATCCATATGCTCCTTGGCAATTCTTCCACAACTTGATGGTACCATCCTCGCTGCCAGTCGAATAAAGTTTTCCATCAGGAGAGAAGCTGATACTCCAAATAGGACCATGGTGGCCTTTGTGGAGGTCTGAGAGGCGTCAGTAGATATTCAGCACCAATCTAGCAGACTTACCAATCTCCTGCTCACTGTCATAATCATATACCTTGGCCCAAGTATCTGCAACCCCACCAGTGATGAACTTTCGTTGCATCGGGTGAAGAGCAACACTTGCGACAGTATATGGGAGAGTGACACTCTTGATCAAAGTTCGAGCATCATTTCCACCATAAAAGTAAACCATCTTGCCTGCTGCGATGCACAAGACTGGTAAACCAGATCCAATGTCATTGGATTGGGGCTTAATGTTCGTAAATTCGCAAGATCCAATGTCTCCATCCACAATCTTCTCCTGGATGACTGCGCGATTTGCCAAATCCCACCATCTTATGACTTTATCATCTGCAGCTGTGACGAGGATATTTGGATCGCGAGTCCAGACAATGGATTTGATCGTGCCTTTGTGAACTCCTGCACCAATTTCGAAGCCAGCTTCTGCTGAAATGATTTTCGAATCCACTGCTCCATTACCGTTCGGAGTAGAGGCTCCATTTGCGGTGGGAGCAGTTATAGCATTCGCATTATCGAGGTCGAAAAGGCGTAGCTTCTTCTCCATCCCTCCTGTCGCAAGCAAGGAGTTGGATTCATGAGGGAAAGCGACAGCTCGAACAATGTGGTTATGTTGGAAGGTAAAGATAGCCTCGCCGGTGTGTGTATCCCATACCTTGCTGATTTTGTTAGTAGTTGCTAAAGCGCTGCCATTGTAAACTTACGCTGTAAAGTCTGCAGATGCTGTGGCAGCTGTATTGGCATCAGGAGAGAGTCGAGCTTGGTAGACGGCGCCTTTGTGGCCAAAGAATGTCCCAATCCTTTGTTGTTAGCTATAGCCTCTGCGATCCTGACACTAAACGTACCAATCTCCAGTCACACCATCTCGAAGCATAGGATTATTATCTGTTTCGCATCAGCAGTGTACTTCTTGAAATTGAAGAAACCCACCCTTGCATGCAGATATCATGTAGTATTCATCCTCTTCAGAATTTGCAAACCCAGAGAATCCCAAATGAGTAACAGGGCGTGAATGTCCATGACATGTTAAAGGAACGGCGGCTTTTGGAGTTTCAGGTCCTGCCATGATTGTAGGTGTCTTTGAATGGAATGCGAAGGCAAGGAATTTCGAATTCGAGTTTGGTTGTAGCAAAGAGCGAAATATGGGACCGAGTTTAGAGGGTGGGAAGTCTTCGAAGCTTGGTATCGAAAAGAAGGGATATTCAAGTAAAGATAAGAAGATTCGTTGCAAAGGTCGTAAAGGTCGTTACTGTTTCTTGATGCGAATGATTTCGTGATACTCCTCCTCGACAACAAACACAAAGAGCGCACCCGAATGGTATTACTACAGTTCAAGGGCTCTTCGTGAAGAAGAAAGGAGAGATGGAGGGCATTCTCGAGCTTGAATTTCAGAGTTACACTAGCGTAGCGTCTAGCGTCGGAGGTGGAAATTCTTTTAAGCGGATAACGATAACAAACGCGGCTGCCAAAGCAAGAGGAATCAGGTCGATGAACATGGAAATCTTTCTGTGAATTTCTTATTTTTCTTTTTGAGAACTTCACCGTAGGCACGATATCTTCAAGGTCGACTGGAGAGGTACTTTCATTAATAAAGTTCTTCACGGTCTCATTAGTCACATTCCCTGCTCCCCACCAACAGCTTGATATCCATCTGGCGCATTTCCCCCACTACAACAGAGCTTCATATCCGGCGCATTGCCTGGTCTGGTGACAATGGCAGCATACAAGCTCTCTGCCTCTCTATCTGGTCATGATGATGATGTTAGTTCTGTGCCGCATCCTAATTACAATCTGACATCTTCCAGGTCCGTGGCGTAGCATTTCCAACATCAAAAGCTGTCCTTTCGGCTTCTCGAGATGGCACGGTCAGATTATGGAAACTCACCTCCGAAAACCACCCTGTTTACGATGACACCATCTCCTCTCACGCCGGCGCATGGATGAACACAGTGGCATACCTCCCGCCGAATGCTGAATACCCCGAAGGTTTGATTGTTTCTAGTGGCAAGGATGTGGTCATTGATGTTCGACAACCTTCAAGAGCAGCAGAAGATAACGCAGAAGCCCTTTTGCTAGGACATAGTAGGGACGTGTGTGCTTTGGATATCGACCAAGAAGGCAAATATATTGTCAGTGGCTCATGGGATCATGATGCTCGAATATGGCCTATTGGGAAGTGGGAATCTGATATAGTGCTGAGAGGACATGAGGGAACTGTTTGGGCGGTTCTTGCTTATGATCCAGAGAAGATCATTACTGGTTGCGCTGACCAAAAGATTCGATTATTCCACAAGTCCGGCAAGCTTCTCAATACATTTCAGGCCAGCAGAGGTCCGATTCGAGCACTATGTCGAGTACCCAAAGGTCATCCCTCAGGGGCAGATTTCGCTTCTGCAGATAACGAGGGTATTATTCGACTGTGGTCGATATCTGGGAAGCAGATTGCAGAGCTACACGGACACGAGAGTTTCATCTATTCTCTGGCGGCTCTTCCAACTGGTGAGCTGGCCAGTTCTGGAGAGGATCGTACAGTGAGGATATGGAAAGGAACCGAGTGCATACAAACGATTACGCATCCTGCGATTTCCGTTTGGGGTGTGGCTGTTTGTGCGGAGAATGGAGATATCGTCTCTGGAGCAAGTGACAAAGTGGTTAGGGTGTTTACACGAAGTGAGGAAAGAGTGGCAGCTGCTGAAACAGTAGCACAATTCGATGAAGCTGTCAAGGGATCTTCGATACCTCAACAGACAGTATCTGTGAACAAGGAGAATTTACCTGGGCCACAATTTTTGACACAAAAATCCGGGACCAAGGATGGACAGGTTCAGATGATTAAGGAGTTGAATGGGGCAGTTACGGCGCATACATGGTCTGCTGCTGAAAACCAATGGATCAATGTTGGAACTGTCGTTGATGCCGTTGGTAGCAGTGGGAAGAAGGTATGTTTGGTAAACTTTTGTTGGATTTGACTAATTCCGTAGGTCGACTATCTCGGACAAGAATACGACTTTGTGTTTGATGTGGATATCGAGGATGGGAAGCCACCGTTGAAGTTACCCTACAACTTGGCTTCAAATCCATATGAAGCAGCGACAAAGTTCATTCAAGATAATGAGCTGCCGATTACGTATCTTGATCAGGTTGCGAATTTCATTACCACGAATACGCAAGGTGCCACAGTTGGTCCAGCAGCCCCAGCTCCAACTGGACCGGATCCATGGGGAAGTGAGAATCGATATCGACCAGGAGAAACGAACGCACCAAGTGTGACAGCTCCTCCAAAGATCTTACCCCAGAAGGATTATTTGAATATTCTTGTTGCAAGAATCCCAGCGATGCAAAAGAAGATCACGGAACTGAACCAGGCCTTACTCGCAGAAGGTCGCAAGGATATTTCGATGAACCCGACAGAGCTTACTGTTCTCTCTAATTTATGCAAGCATCTTGAGACCGTTGGTGCGACCAAGACATCGCAATCTGTAAGAGGAGGATTAGATCTAGCTATCAAATTGGCTATTGAATGGCCATACAAAGACCGGCTACCTGGACTTGATCTTCTTCGTCTTTTGGTCGTTGCACCAGATACTGCTACATTTACGCATTCAGGAGGCGCCAATATCGTGGATATCCTCGAAGTTGGAGCGACAGAGACGGAAACTCCTGCCGAGAACCATGTCATGATGGCTGTTCGAGCATTTGCCAACTTATTCGAATCGATGGAAGGTCGACAGCTTGCCGTTCGAGAGTTCGACAAGATCCAGAAGGTTATTACAGCATCGATAGCCAATAGCACCAATCGAAACCTTCTCGTTGCAGCAAGCACCGTTTATATCAACTACTCCGTCTACTTCAAGTCTGAGGGTGATAAGACTTCGTTTGAGCATGTTCTGGCTGTGCTAGATATCCTTGGCAAGATTCTGTCGACTCAGACTGATTCTGAGGCTGTTTATAGAGCTTTGGTGGCTACTGGGACTCTTCTTACTCTGGATGATGAGATTAAGAGTGCGGCGAAGGATGTCTATGGAATTGAGAAGAGTGTTTCGACTGCGGTGGGTAAGGCTATGGATCCTAGGATCAAGAATTTAGCAGGAGAGATCAGGGGACTATTGAAGTGATGAAGAGATGAACGAAACGAAGCATTTGGCGGTTCTCAAAAGCAGCATAGCATAGCTTGCACATGAAACTGTTTAGATTTCTGATTTAGTCTCAATTCATGATGTGACTGACATTCACAATATTCAGATTTCTGGTTCGAATTCTATATTCATGATGGGATCACTGAAATCTACCATTCCTCGGGTGATTTGAGAGTCTTTATTCATGATGTGATCACTGACATCTACCACTCCCCAAAGTTCAAGGATAGAAAATTACAATCCATATGTCGGGACAACGCTTGTACCCTTCCAACGCCAAATATACAACCCAAACCCAACCAGGCTAATCCAAAAGAATATCTACAAGTCGAAACCTCGTCCCCTTTATAGGAAAGCCCACATCAATAGACTAGCAAGTGGTAAGAATGACGCTGTAGCGATTGTTCTTGAAGCACCAGACGTCGAGCCACTGATCGAGAAAACGTTGTTAAAAGATATATCGGAGCTGTTGAAGCAATTCGAAGCATTAACTTCCATCTGCGCTGCTACCGTTTCTGGTGCTGCGAATGTGATATCGACGCACTGGAAGGTATTAGCTTCGTCCTTGTCAGTCAGATCAGAGTACCCACCGAAAACAAACTCGCTCCATGAATAGCAGTTTCCACCACTTGAATCGTCGCATTATCTCCGACATTCACAGTCGTATTTGCTGGTAGAGGAACTTGTGGGAGACAGAAGGTTCCTGGGTAGGGGTTCTTGTTTGGACCAACGATTTGAAATACGGGAACCATGGGGAATGACATATTTGGTGGTCCTTGATCTGGTCCATCGGTACCGAAGCCGAGATTGATGTAGAAGAATGCCGTGGCATGGCCTTGGAACCAACCGGGTTGGAGGGCGATTGCTCCTCCTGTTGTAGGCCATAATGTTCGATTTGTGGTTGTTCGCATGCCACCGCCTGGAGAAGTTAGTATGAATGGAAAACGAGTACGAGAAAGAAGAAGCTGGACTTCCAGCTGCGGAGATATGAAGCCAGCAGAACTCCTGCTTGATATCCATATCTAATCACTCGTGCCTCTTCTCCGCAGATACCGAAAATACTTACAAGGATACATCCACTGCATGCCATAAGGAAAAGTATCATTCGTAATCAGATTGTCTCCTCTCCACCCTGGATATGTGATGACTGTATGCGCTTGAACAACCACCAAACTCGCTATCGCGACCACCGCGGATAATATCGACGAGGGGAAGAACATGGTGATATGAGGTGTGACTGCGAACTCGACTCGGCAAAAGTAATTTCGTATAATCTCGAAGCCAGATACCAGATCGTGTTCGAGGATCGCAAGACAGGACGATGAGGAAAAAGATACACGGCGACGACAACAATATGGAGTGAGGTTGAGTTGAGAAGAAGATGGGGTCGCAAAAACGCAGCCATCTTGGCTCCCCTCGCCTTTTTGATCCAGACACCGCAGAGCAGTGCAAAATGTCTCTCCAATCAATCACCCACCTTGGAAGCTGCAAGTGAGAGCGCTGACATTGATGCGCCTGCAGATGGGCGGCTGTAAGCTTCACTGTGCCAGCCAATCGAGGGCGAGATGGGAGAGCAGCGACGGGTATTCTAGAGGAAAAGGGGTTAGACCAAGAATTGCCAGATCATGATTTGCAGAGCGGGAGCCAATGGTAGCTAATGGAGGGGTAGCGCCAATGTAGTTTCAGGGGTTGGGTAACTCTCGCTTCGAGTGCTGGCGCTTGGAGGGATGAGAACAATGGAATCACATCCGGAGACGAGCAGGAAGCACAGAGACGGATGGAGATAGAAAGAGAGTGCCGAATGTTGGGTAAGGTAACCGCTTTGATTCGTTTCGATTCTGATATTGATGTTGGTCCCGAGAATCAATATACCCGTTCAGGCACAAGAGATGATGCAGCAACATGCTTTGGGAAGAGACTCGAGAGGCCAAGAACCCGACTGAGGCACTCAAAATTCCGTGGCAAAAGACTGTCAGCTTACCGTAGAAATCTTGTAAATCAACGACTGACGACGAATCTGGTCGATCAAGATCCCCTCATTGGAGTCTCCCTCACCACCTTATTCGTAACTTTCATGCGAGGATTCATCGTTAATTCAAATCAATCATCCTACCTGAACCGTAACTCCAGATCTAGTCTAACTTTTGACGGAGCGTCTGTCTGATCTCCCAATATCACAATAACCCTAAAAGTCGTAACATGAATCACCAGATCTCATCACATCAACTGGGCGCCTCGCCGTACATGGCATGTTTCTTGTCGAAATGAGTTTGGCGATGGGAAGAAGTATCAACAAGGCGCAAAGGCGGGAATGTCCGTTTCGGGGTCCTTGCTCAGGCGGTCAGATTCTGCCGAGTGAGCTAAAAATAAATCCACACTAAAAACTTTACTTTTCGGGAATTGCTGCATGTGAATGTATTGGTGTGATCTGCGTGGTTTTTATTTGGAAACGCATCGACATGACCCGAAAGAAGAAATCGAAGCCCGTGGAGGGGAAAGGCATTGTTCATACCAAGAGGAGAGAGGTTGTGTATGAGGATGGTTGGACCTTGATTGTCGATACTCCGAAAGCGAAGACGATACCTAAGCCGACCTTCCATGGTGGGGATTTCGAAGTTAATGGGGTCAGCTATATCAATCGAACGCTGGACGAGATGAGGGCGGATTTCGAGCATTGGAAGAAGGCTTGGGAGGAGAGCGATGCATGTGGAGCTTTGAGGGAGAAGCTGGAGGGAATGAAGATTGAGAATGCCGTTGTTCTTGGTCTAGGAAGTCTGCAGAGCTCGAGAAGAGAAGGCAGAAGAGCGAGCGCCACACAATTGGCTGCTCTGCAGACTGTCCTTGGGGCTCTTGATCTGCCAGTTGTGCTTCAAGACCCTCAGTACACGGAATTGGACAAGGAGTTTTTGACGAGCTTGGGATACAAGGTGGTGGATGATCCAGGAGCATTTGCTGCCGTTGGGACAGGAAGCTTGGTGTATGCTATTCATTGCTATGGTCCGGTGTATCAGAGTTTCAGTGATGGACCAAGACCTGCGGTGTTGATTGGAACGGATGTGGAGAACTTTGGTAGATTTGATGGGTGAGTTTTCCTATTCGGTGTAGGATAATTGCTGATATCTGCAGGTCGAATGCTGGAATTAAAAAGTCTTTAAAAGAAATGGTGAAGGATTGTCGGATTCTCGATTTCCCACAAGTACGACATGATTTCTCGGATACCAAGATATATTGGCGGGCAGAGGCGGGATCTTGAGGAGCTTGAGGGATAGGGACAAGAGACATTCAAGAAGCAGATGTTCTGGAGCAGGATCAGACATCAAATACTTGAGGACATCGAGGGAGAAAGGCTTCTGTAGCAGGGATGGACATTAAAGCCTTGAGGACACTGAAGCAGCAGAAAGTCTTCAGCAAGGACGGACATTGCAATCATCGGAATGTTGGACCTCGCGAGGTTGTCTTGGAGACAAGTAAATGTTTCTCCAGCCTTCCTAGATATCTAGCTAATACTTCCAGCCTTCACCACACTTCCAAAAGCATCTGCCAACTCTGCCAACGTCACGCTCACCAAATCCTCTGCATTCACCCCAGGAATATTCCTATCTCCCACCGCATCTTCTGCGATGATCACATCATACCCTCTCTCGGCAGCTTGTCTAGCAGTGGTACTGACACAAACATGCGCCATATATCCTGTCAAAACGATCTTGTTCTTCCCTGACTTCTTCAAGAATTCGTCCAGATCCGTTCCGGTGAAAGATCCTGGCTGTTGCTTCTGAATAACCTTCTCATCTCCCTTGGGTTCAAGCTCTGCGAACTCTTTTGCGAGGTCAGAATTTGGGGTGAAGACTGGAGCTCCTTCTGGGACTTGATGAACGACATGTACAAGCGGTGCGGAGGCAGCACGGTATTTCTCGAGGAGAGTGGAGATAGCTTTGCGTGTTGATTGAACATTCTCTGTCTTTAAATGTCCAGTAGCATACCTGACAAATTAGTCAATGTCGGACGAATGGAGAATGTACATACTCGTTTTGAGCATCGATGATTATCAAGACACTATCATTTGTGGAAGCAGTGGATGGTGAAACACCGATGAGTTCTCTGAATGCTTTTGCCATGTTGAAGTTATTTTAGAGTTTGTTATGCTTCTTTCGATTATGGTTATACTTATAGTTAATGGGAGGGGCAATTGAGGGGTATCACGGCCCACCTGTTCCCGGAGCTGTTTCCGGAGCTAATATCTTGGTGATGACGCTATCGTGGCTTTAAGCCTCGCTCTTGGAACATTGAATTTGATAGATTTGGGAGTTTAGGTAATGATGATGGGGCATGAGCTCAGAGTTCTCAAGACGGTTATTTGATGACATATCTATTCTGATTGGATCGGACATCCAGACATCCAAAGAAGATCTCTCGGACTTCTTGAATCTTTTGATAGCATATGCAAGAATAAGCTGACAAAGCGCAAGCTGGAGGCATCAGTAATCGGAGATGCGCCAGTGAGTGAGACTTTGGTAGGCTTGAGTAGCAACTTCTAGGTCCGATACTATGCAGGCATCTGTTCCTACGAATCTAGAACATCAAGCACCCATTTCATCGGGTAGTACTGTACAGTATTTTCCATGTGAATGTCTTGAACACAGAGCCTGCTCCTCGAAGCTGCCCGACCTAATATCCTATTCCAACTTCACAGCCTCACGAAGAAGGCTCAAGATTAATAAATGTGAAACCTGATAACAAGATTGACAAGTGACAGCCTTGCCATAATGTGTCCATGAAGAGGCACAGATTGAGGTACAGGAAATCGAGCACAGAAACTCAGCATCTATGCAACGTAAGAGGAAAGAAAGGATCTCGATTCACCACGAAACAAGAGAGATTCTCTTGCTTCAAATAAATGAACTGGCCCAAATCCGGTTTCGCTGGTTCATTTTTCCTGCCCCACAAATAAGCCTCGTCGGGCGGCAACTTGGTGGTGGCATGGTCAGGGGGTGATCAGCAGAAGGTAGAGCCTCGAGCAGAATCACGACAATTCTCCATCAGACTGACAACAATTGTTTGCGCTTTTCTTCTGCACAAAAAAACATATCCAAGAACGAGCTCAAAGAAACGCATTGCTTCTATCAAAAGATTCATGCTCAGGCCATTATTCCTTCAGCACTCCAAAGCCTACGCTTTAACTATTTCCAGGCACACAGCCCCCGCTTCGGTTTTAGTGAGGCGTTCATCAGCCAACCAGCCTCGCCTTCGCACGCCCGCCCTTCACTTTACGGCAGGAAAAGAGAGTCAAAAATGCCACCACTTCGTATTCCTCCATCCAGCTGATTCAGATGTTAAAACTCCTCTCTACACACCCTATTCACAGCCGCATTTTTACCTTTGTAAACGATTGAACGATTTCGTCAAAATATACTTCTCCATCGCAATTCCCCATCTCTCAATTTGTTCCTTGTTTTGATACCCAGAAACCGGATTGCTATCCTTACCTCCCGCCGAACACCCCCGAATAAACAATACGAGAGACAGCCTGGCCAACAAACTAGTTCATGATCCTGCACAATACGAGACATTGGGGTCAGATAGTCTGACTGTAACGAACACATCATCTCCTGTTCCTCTCTTCTTTTCTTCTCTTCTCTTTCGACATGCAGCATCGTTATTCCTTTGAAGACGACGACCAGCCTTATGACGGAAGGAGGACTCCTGAACAGCTCAATTCACCATCACACACACCTTACAATCCTACCGCACACCCCGACAGCTCTTTCAATCGTTTAAGAGCTGCACGAAGATACAGTCGAGATCGAGAACCTCTGCAAGGTTATGGAGAGACGATAACGGCACCACCTCCACCTCCACATCGCGACGTTCCTCCATATCGAGATTCCGAAGGAAGGCTGTGGGGTCGAGAGCTAGGCTATACCAATTCAGCATACTCCAATATCACTCCAGGAGCAGATAATTTTGGAGAACAAGCAGCTGGAGGAATGGCAGGTATCGCGATGACGGTCGCAGATGCGAATGCGAGGGAGAGTGGTTTGGAAGCCATGAGAAATACACCAGGCTATGATTCACGAGTGGAGGAAAACATACCTTTGGAAGATTCGTTCACTCGACCAACGGCAAGACATTCGGAGATGTCATCAACTTCGTTGACACCTCTAGGTGCAGCAGCTTTCCCTCCAGGTATGGCGACTCCACAATCACGATCCACTGTTTCGCGGTCCCCCCACAGTTTCGAACATCAACCTTATGTCGACAACCCTCCCTACAATGAGTTTCGATATTCGAGAAATGTGGATCCGAGTTTGACGCAATTCGATCCAAATACTATTGCAGATGATGGTGATGATGGATTGGAATACAGACAACAGAGTCGTGGATCGATGCTGAGCTTAGGTCGTCATTCTGATCATGCTGTCCCTGCTGCTGGAGCTGCTGCTACAGGAGGTGTTTTAGGAGCATTAGGGGGTTTGGTTGGACGGGCTGGGAGTGGAAATGCAGCTCCAACAGCATACGATCCTGTCATGAGAGAAGGGGAAGAGAAGAGTGCGTGGTTGAACAAGCAATCGACAGGGAGTAAGAAGCTGAGGTGGCTCGTTATTTGCGTCGTTGGATTTTTGATCTTGGCAGCTATTGTAGGTGGTACCGTTGGTGGAATCCTGGCGTCGAGACATTCCGGATCCTCGTCTTCTTCACCTGCTGGACAATCAGCTGGACAAGATACAGCGGCCAATGGCGACCTCAACAAGAATTCACCAGAGATTGTAGCTTTGATGAACAATCCAGATCTTCACAAGGTCTTTCCTGGTATCGATTATACTCCGATGTATACGCAATACCCCGATTGTCTTTCCTATCCACCATCTCAGAACAATGTTACAAGAGATCTTGCTGTTCTCTCTCAACTCACCAATACCGTTCGACTTTACGGCACCGATTGCAATCAAACCGAGATGCTTCTTCACTCGATTGATCAGCTAGGCTTGAATGGCACGGTGAAGGTGTGGATGGGTGTTTGGCTCGATACGAATACTACAACAAATACTCGACAAATAGCTCAGATGTATGATATCTTCAAGAAATACGGCTCAGCATCGTTTGTGGGTGTCATTGTGGGAAATGAGGTTCTCTTTCGACAAGATATGACTGTTACACAGCTCGGCGATGTCATCACAGGTGTCAAGAGCAATCTGACGTCTATGGGCATCAGTCTTCCCGTTGCCAGTTCGGATCTTGGAGATAATTGGACTGCTAAGTTTGCTGACCAAGTCGATTACTTGATGGCAAATATTCATCCTTTCTTTGCTGGAGTTACAGCCGAAGAAGCAGCAGGATGGACGTGGGATTTCTGGACTGGACATGATACAATATTGAAGACTGATATCACGAAGAATGTCATCTCAGAAACAGGCTGGCCATCGATTGGAGGAATGGATTGTGGTGCAGCAACGACATGTACCAATGGGTCTATAGCAGGTATCACAGAGATGAATACGTTCATGGGTGATTGGGTCTGTGATGCTCTGACCAATGGAACGAATTATTTCTGGTTCGAAGCGTTTGATGAACCATGGAAGATCGTTTATGATACTCCTGGAGAGGAATGGGAGGATCATTGGGGATTGATGGATGTCAATCGAAAGTTGAAAGATGGAGTGGTGATTCCTAGTTGTGGAGGAAAGACGGTTTCGTAAGAGCATATGGGTGGGGTATTGATCATTTTCTGGCGTTAGGGGAAAACATGGGAGCATCAACGTTACATTCTGTACATTATAACGAATTGGGGCCAGATCAGATCCAGGCCGGGGGTCTGTAGATAGATAATGAGGACTTGAGCAGAGCGTTTTGTCGCAGCGAGGTTCTTTCTGCTCTTGATGGTTATGGTTGCTTGAGTACCTTGTATGTTGCAGAGCTGCTTGATGGGGTCAACGCCGGAGTCAGCGGACCTGAGTTGGATTTTCCCTCATTCGTTCACTTTGACTTCTGCAGATGCTTTGCTTTTACTTCTCTATATGTACAAACATCTTACTAGCAACTTCCAGATACCAGATCTTCGGAAGGCAAGTGTCACTTTAGCTGTTCATTTTCTTTCGCCGCTGGGTTGGACAATCTGGGCTCTACCTGCAGAAAAATGCCATATCTTCTTGGTGGTTAGAGACTGCAAGGCAGCAGATTTAACGTTGAATAACGTTGAATAAGAGCAGGCCATACTTCTCGCCATCAGTTGACGCTTGAGTCACCTTCGTCTTCAACCGAGTCACTGTATCGTTCCCCCTTCTTGGCCCATCTATCGAGCACGGTAGCTCTGCTCTCATGAGTGTTCCTCAACTCCAACGCCTTGTGCTGGGAAACCATGCCACATTCCGATGCTCGTGGCTTAGGCCATCAGTTACTGTGGAGTACATCTGCTTGTCACCGTCACACTCAAGTCACTGTTAATCCAGATTTCTACAGAAAATCAGGTTCTCTCCCTCATTATTCAATTACCACTCAATACATCAAACTTCCTGTCCCTGGTACTTTCAATATCCCAGCATTAGTCAACGCCTCCGCAAGTCCAAATATCATCCCATCACATCCCCTAGCAGCCACAACATCCACCGTCACGGGTAGATACTCCTCTTGCAGTGTTATCGTGGAATTGTATGCAGCTTGGCCGACTGTGGATGTCAGCTCACATCCCCACGGACAATGGAAGTCTTACTTGGGAACACCATATCAGGAACTTCAGCAAAGTTCGACACACGCGAGATGCTAAACCCGGTTGGAGGTACAGGTGAACTGTTCTCGTCAGTCTTTATCTTCAACGAGTAGAATACTTACTTTCGATAAAGGTTTCGATAATTCGGAGTAGCATCGCTTCCAACATATAACAGAATACTGTCGCTACAACTCTCAACACTCGGTGTGATCACTTCAGTTGACCACCAATCCATGAATACAGTCTTGTTCTGCAAGGCTTGAGTTGTGGCATCAGCACTAACATTATTCTGGCCGTACGCCCATCGAATCAATGGTGCAGGATCAACGAATGGTCGCTTTCCATCATGAGCAGCTGCATAATCGGCGTAGAATGGGAGGGTGAAGAGTGAGTATTGTTGCTGGGCGATCAACACTGGATAGACGATTCCAAGATAGTCGTCGATGGAATCTCCTCCTGCTGCTGCTGGACCATTTGTTGACCAGAGAGACTCAACGTCGAGAGCAGTGGTTGAGGCGTTGAGGAATGTTTGAAGCTGTGAGACGAAATCGAGTAGGATGGTATTCGCTTCGTTAGATGCAGAGGTAGGGAAGCCGGATGTGAGGATTTTGGTAGGGAATGAGGTGAAGTTGCTTGCGATGTTGCTACCATAGAGAGCTTTCGCTGCTTCATGCCAGAGAAATGGATCTCGGGTGAGGAATCCTGCAGTGTCAAGGTTCGGAGAGAGCGGCATCACGCCATCAAGGCTAACGAGACCGTGTGAAGGTCTATTTCCGAAACAACCATTCACTTCAGATGGTCCACGAATCGATCCACCAGTATCTGATCCAAGGCCGATATCAAGCCAATCATAAGAACCAATTCCTGCTCCTGGACCAGAAGACGAGGAGGAAGGATCTTGGTAACCATCTCCACGGATGTTGAAAGGGGAATGGTAGTCCACCCAATCTGCAGTGGCCGTCTCTCCATTGGCGAACTGAGATGTCTTCATCTTTCCAATAATGACAGCTCCTGCATCGATGAGCGTTTGAACGGCAACAGCTGTGACATTTCGAGGAGGGTAAAGATCATAGTAAGCACGGTTTCCACAACTTGTCTTGATTCCAGCGATATCATAAATATCTTTTACACCGAGCCGTACACCTGCAAGCGGTTGAGCGGCAGTCTTGGTGTAGTAGAGCCTGGAAGGGACTCCAATCGTGAGACTTTGAGCTCCTGGAATGGCAGCACTAAGAATTGAAAATGTGCCATCTGTGTTGGGTTTCAATCCTTCAGTGAAAGCTCCTTGAACGTCAGAGTAGAGTCTGTATGCTTGGTAGATATCACCGGTGGATGCAGACATGAAATATGGACCAGGAGGAAGTTCTGTTCTCCATCCTGTGAAATTGTGTCCTTGGGCTTCGACTGAGGATGTGTAGGCTCTGGAGGGCATGAAGAGTTTGGTTCCGTATTCTGTGAGGGCTGCTCCGAGAGGATATTGAACTGTTGCTGGAGAGGATCCGGTATGTTTCAGGTAGATGGCTGGAGAGTTAGTGAGATCGAGGAGGAAAGAGAAGGTGAAGAGGGACAAGGGTATTAAGGGGACGGGTGGAGCATACCTTGAAGGAAACCAGCATTGAACACATCATCGGATGAAGTGTAATTTCCAACTATAGATCTGAATACAGAAGTTGTGAAAGAACTCGTGGTATCTTCCATAACAGTCAAAGGAATTAAATCCACACCAATTGTCGCTGCTGAACTCAGCATATCTGCTGTAGCAGAAATAATGGAGACGGACTCTGGAGCAGCATAATAATCGACTCCATTGACTATCAATGTCTGTCCAGATATTGATACAATGGCATTAACAGTAACTGCCAAACTCAAGGCGAGGAAAGCGTGCGCCATCTTGACGGAGTGAGAGGGATAAAGATACAAGATTTGGGGAATGAGAGATATAAAATGCCCACTTTCGAGGTTTAGGAACGTGCAGAGAGTAAAAGCTACCCTTGAACTATTGATGGTTCCTGCATATTTACTTACCATCGAGATAAGGATTCCTTGTCGATGGGAAATGCCCTTGTCGAGAGTGCGGGGTCTCAATTGTCAATTCGGTGTGAATTCCATCCGCTGCTGCATTGGCCTTTGCATGGAAGGATCACGGAAAGGCTGGGTCTCCAATTATCTCTTGGTACACCGCTCCTAGTCAGCATTGAGGCTGTTGTGATGTTTACTTTGAAGTCAACAGTGGGGGAAGATAAGCTTGGCGTACCCGTGTTGGCGGTTCGGTAAACCTTGGCGAGATAAGGGGAGGATAGTGCCTTCCTTTTTTGGAACCGAGAGCATTTGCGCATGGGGTAAGATGGGATATAATTATTTTCATTAATAGTTGAATCGTCAAATTCGGATAATTCGGAAGAACATCTTGTACTCGAAGAAAGTCGTCGGCCTCATTTTCATCCTGCTTTATCCTCCAATCCATTGCCCCTCACTGCCCTGCCTTCTCTTTCTTTTCAATTTCAAGTAATTGTTTCGCCAACTTCACAAATGTTTCCTCCTTCCTATGAAATTTTAATCCAAGAACTTTCTCTGCCTTGGCACTGCTACACTCATACGCATTCTCAGGCAATGGGTTTCCACCAGGCGTTCCCTCTGGTGTTCTCTCCCCCAATTCCGGGATATCCTTCCTCAACATATCAGAGATCTGTTGCGAAGAGATCTGTCCAGCGCAGATGATGAATCGTTGACCTGAAGCTTCAGGTACGGCCACTGCTTTGATATGCGCTTCTGCTAGATCCTGTTCTTGTTAGTTTTGCTCGTTCCGAGTGAAGTTGACTTACTCGGACATCCGTATACACATGCATTCCATTTGGTGGAAGTTCTGCATCTTTCTTTGAATCGACAAATAAGCCATAAATTCTCGAATTTGATTGATTCAATTCTTTGACACTCTTGACTGAATGGCGAAGTGGTCCATAAACCATGGGTGGGGTCAAGGTGACGAGATCAAAGTTTGGTTTCTCTTTTTCGACGAAATCCCATGCTATTTTCGTTAGCTAGATCTCCCACGACTGGAGATGACTGACCTGATTTCTCAGCAAACTTCTTGCTAGCTTGATACGCATTGTTTTGCGTTCCAACTAATGCGCTCTCCCATGTTGTGGGATTCCAATCATCCTCAGTGTAAATCTTCTTCGGGGCGTCGGGAGGTGCTCCAAAGTTGACCACAGCAGCACAACTACTCGTGATGACCACTCGCTTCACTGTTGGTGCATGAGCTTTGACGGATTTCAAAACTTCGAGAGTACCCTTGATAGCTGGATCGAGGAATTCGCGATTATCTGAGATGACACGATAGAGGAAGGGAGAGGCGGAATGGATGATGGTATCGAATGGTGGGGAAGACTTCACGACATCGTCAAAAGCTCCAGGAGCGGTGATGTCTGGAACGATTCCAAAATCAAGTTGTGTTCCTTTATTGGGGAAATCAGCGAGAACTTGTTTTGCTTTGGATTCGCTTCGAATGATAGCTCGAACTGAGAAGCCTTGATTGAGGAGATGTTCAAGAATGTGTGAGCCAATAAAGCCATTCGCACCGGTGAGCAGAACTCGAGACATCTTGAGATGGTGGTGAATTTGAGATGAAAATGGCCGGCTTTATATCAAAATTGCTTCGGCTATGATTCCGGCACCCATGAAGCGGACATCCCCAATCATAGTGCATTAATTCCGCTTTTAGTCAGGGGTTTATGCGGAAAATCAGAACAGGAAGTTCAATGATCGAATCAGAATCATTTTCATTGCAACACGGAAAGTATTCCGACCCACAGGGTGTGTCAGCATGGTCAATTGAAGTCTGACTAAACCACTTGCAGGAGAATGTATATCGGATTGGATTTCTTGTCAGAAATGACGCAGTGTAACAAGGAGGCATTGCGAGATTCGCCTTGAAATAGCCGAAAGAAGTCCATGATGCGGAATGGAGGGATGGAATTTTCGGGATATAAGTGAAGGGGAGGGGAAATGGGCCTCTAAGCACAGATTTTCGAAAACATGGCAACAATGAGAGCAATTGGTATGAACTATCTCAAGGATATGAATCCAACTCACAGATTTAGATATCAAAGATGGCACGGGGCCAGTTTCCCACCTCTTCATGAATTCCGACATCCCCAAACCTCAACCAGGGAAATCTCAAGCATTGATCAAGATCCATGCTTTCGGGCTTAATCGAATGGACTTGATGCAACGAGAGGGCAAGTACAATGTTCCGCCTCAAGGTGGAAAGATTCTTGGAGTGGAGTTCTCTGGAGTGATTGAGGGATTGGGTAGTGAATCGGATTTCAAGATAGGAGATGAAGTCTTTGGATTGGCCTATGGAGGTAAGACTTTCAAGAACTTCTGAGATCGTACTAACAGAACAAGGCGCATATGCAGAGTACCTAGTCTCCTCAACGAGGATGCTCATTCGTAAGCCAAAAGAACTATCATGGACAGTAGCTGCCGGAATTCCCGAGGTAAGACTTTCATCTTTGACGAAAACAAAGCTAATCGATAGACTTGGATTACTGCTACGCAAGCACTTCACCTCGTAGGGTGCTTCAAACCTGGCGATAATGTCCTGTGGCATGCTGGAGCATCGGCTGTCTCGATTGCTGGCATTCAGTTGGCGAAAGCCGCAGGAGCCAAGTCTATCTTTGTGACAGCAGGATCCGATGACAAAATACAATTTTGTGAAGAACTGGGAGCCACGAAAGGATTCAATTATCATAAAGATGACTGGGTAAAGGGAGTTCTGGGTGCTACTGATGGTCATGGAGTAGATGTGACCATTGACTTTATTGGAAAGAACAACTCCCAAGGAAACTTTGAAGCAGCAGCCATGGATGGAAAGATTGTTCAACTTGCCAGTATGAGTGGATCGAAACTTGAAGCTGGTCTGGACATTGGGTTGCTCGAGAACAAACGCTTGCGTTGGGAAGGAAGCAGATTGAGAAGTCGTGATCTGGACTACCAGCATAAGTTGAGAGATTTGTTGGTAGAGTTTGCTTTGCCGAAATTCGTGGATGGGACCTTTCAAGTTCCGATTGAAAAGGTCTTTGATTGGAAGGATATTCAAGAGGCACATGCTTTGATGGAAAGTAATCAGTCAAAGGGAAAGATTATTTGTATTGTGAGCTGAGATGAATTAACTGATCACGAGAAGATGGGAAGGCAGCCAAAGTACTGTTGAAGTTAGTATGGAACGAGAAATGCAGGAGTACGTACAATCCAAGGATCATTGAACCTCAAATTTTGATCCAGTCCGTCAATTTCCTTGATTTCTTCTTCTGTCAGATCAAATCCTTTTGCATCTAGGTTTTCGAGCAACATCGGTAGGGTGTCACTTTTTGGAACGACGGCGATACCTTGTTGAGTAGACCATCTGAGTAAGATTTGTGGTGGAGATTTGCCATGAGCTCGAGCGATTTCGTTGATTACAGGATGTTCGAAGAGATGGGGCGTTTTGACTGCATGTTCGAGATCCATTTCGACATAGCCTGTTGGACCAAAGCTACTGTAAGCTGTGACAGTGATTCCTTCTTTCTTGGCAAACTCCATGAGTGGTTTTTGAACGAGATAAGGATGATGTTCGACTTGGAGAGTGGCAGGACGAATGCGTGCATATCGAAGAAGATCGAGGATGGATGAGCAATTGAAGTTGCTGATGCCGATTGAGCGAACGAGACCAATATCGACGAGATGTTCCATTGCTTCCCATGTTTCCCGGATCGTGGCGTTTGAGAGTTGAATGTCAGTTGGAGTAACACCATCGTAGAACCATGCTGGTGGATAACGAACAGCAGGGTCCACATAACGAAGAGCGATGGCTGAGAAGTTAGCTTGGGTCAGGGTGAGGTAAATGAACTTACGGAAATGCATGATGAATAGATCAAAATATTCTAAACCCCAATCTTTCAATTGCTTCCGACATATTGGCTCAACATGTTCTCGTTCATGGAAAGTGTTCCAAAGTTTTGACACGATGAAGAGTTCTTCTCGTTTGACGATACCTTCTTTGATGGCTCTTGCAATCCCTTGACCAGCTTCTACTTCGTTGCCGTAATCTGAAGAGTTAGAGGTATCTGGATGAGAGTGAGAGTACTTACCACAGGCTCCATCAAATAAACGGTATCCTGCTTTGATGGCATTGTAAACTTGATCAGCTATTCTGTCATTTGGTATTTTCCATAGACCATGGCCCACGAGGGGCATCTTGGTGCCATTGTTCAAGGTGAGTGTATGATTTGGCATGATTGTTTGAATTGATTTGAAGTACAGAGGTATCTTGGGAATTTATAGTCTTCCATCTTGGAGATTCATGGCGTGCCATTGTGACATGATGAAGAACTAAAAGCTCGTGGTCAGATGTTGATGGAGACCGGATAAATGTGTGCATCACGTGTTGTAATTATCCGGAGAAGAATCATGAACGACCAAGGGAAAGAATGAGATGGTCTAGAAAATTCGAACGCAAAAAACGAGAACTAAGGTAAGATGATCAGATGAAAGGAAGTTGATGAATGATCGACTTCAGTTTGAACATTCAGCGAGATTCTAGCGATCGTGAAGCCAGGTTGAGGACCTTTCAGAGTAGAATATCAACATTGTCTCCTCCGGTGGACCGTGGCAATCTAGTTTCAGCTGAAGAAAAGGTTGCAATGATGGCGTGTTGGAAGTTCGGAGTTTTCCTGAACAAGCGCTCCAATCATCTCAAGATTTTGAAAAGGAGACAACAGCTGATTTCCAAGTAGCATTCATTTTGCAGACTGGGTAGGCCAATGTGCCGAATAGAATAGAGTAGAAGGAAACTGTGAAGCATGACCACCAGCCTTCGCGTAATCAACTTGGACTCAACTCTTGGGGTTGTGGTGAAGTCAGGCTGAGATAGGGGCAGTCAGCAGCAGTCACTCGATCTGCTGCAAGCCAAAACTCTAGCTCTAATGGTTCTGAAATAGTATGAGCGCTTGAAGAAGACGAGAACATGCAGGTACAAGAACAGAGCAAAAGCAGGCTTTTCAATGAAGAAGGGAGTTGAAACATTGGCAGATAAGCTCGAGGCCTGAGACAAAGAGATGTGATCTGTATCCATTCTCGTCGACACCGCTTCGGAAAAGTTCGTACTAGGCGACGAAGAGCGGTATCATAGGATCTCGGGAAGGAATGGAAATAAACCCATGGTGTCCGCCAATTTGGACACCGAGATTGTGCGTCGTTCGTAGATTCCATCATCGGGGTGGACTTCCAAACCGTTCTGGTCTTTTCAACAGACGCATTCTCCTGACTGCTATATTCGACCTTTCCCGACTTCAATTCCCAGCAGATGCTTCAAGGCTAGTCCATTCTCTTGTAGTGCATTGGCAGACGATCACAAGCTGCTGTCTTTGCCCAAGAAACTGTGTAGTTGTACTAATTTGGGAGAAGAAGTTGGGAGATGCTGGAATAATGACGATAAAAAGTCATGGAGGTCCGCAGTCGTATGGTAATAGCCGGGAGAGGAGGATTGTTCGCGGAATGCCCAAGGGAATTATTCCCTCTCTACATTGTCTACATGGGCTCCTCGAGGGGTTCATATTTCGAGTATGTACTGTATGCAGCTTTGTCCGAGCCCACTTCCTGCCCAAGGTTCGAGATCTTCTTCAAATCTGCTGCCCGCGGTGTGTACTCGAGCTGAAGGAAGCAGCACGTCGCAGGCATACATGGCTGATATCCTTGAACGTTTCGTCTGCAGCTTTGAAGTGTGAAAATGGTGGCTTCGTAGAGGTTGGGGATGCTGGGGATGCTGGAGTCTATCACGCTGTTTTCTTTGGCACATTGGTTGCTTGATCGAAGGCTGATGCATCGTCCTAGCGCTTGATCGGTCAGCAGAGAACATAGAAGCGTTGATGCGATTTAGTCAAATCTGCGGAGACTGTGTCAACCATAGCAGCACATGTTGTGTAGTCGAAGTCAAATATTCGTGAATCTTCGCGTTTTCACCAGCAGGCGATTCTGCCATGATACACCGCCTCAATGTCCCTTTCCTCAACCCCGACTTCACCGTATCAAACGCACTCAAAATGTCTGGATTCGGTCCATCTTGTCCTTCTACGAAAGCTTCAACCCCGTCCCACATTGGAGAGGGAAGAATGGGATATACGAAAGAGGACACGTTCATGGTTCTCAAAGATCACAGATCCATCTGCCTCGAAACCTGAATTTTGCCTTCCCGACCAGAAGTTCCAAGTGGAAGATATGATCCTTCACAGCAGAGGAATCTTTACAGCGTGCAGCTGCTGATATGTACTGTTGTTCTATTTGTATTTTCGTTCTCGTCGATACCATCTCGAGACTGGCAGATGGATTGCAGTTGACTTCATTCTTCAATGAAGTCTCCTTGTGTGCATCCATCTAGTGCGACACAATGGCTCTGGAAGTTGCTGCCACAATATTTTGTTCTTTTCCTGCTTTGCCAAGTCTTCAGTTGCTCAGTATCGTTCAGTTGTCAGTCACTCGTTCCCACGAACCAATCACGCTCTCTCAACGACTATATCTGGCCTCACGACCCAGTACCCTCAACAAAGGCAACGAGCTTAAAGTGAGTCATTACAAGAGGACAGCTCTCTGAAATCTCTATCTTAAGAACCTTGATCGAGAAGTCATCTGAAGCATTAAGACAAAATGTCTCGAAGAAATCAAATCCTCGCAGTAATCACATTCTCACTCGCTCTCTACCTTGCCATCATCTTTCGCCCCCAGCCCCAGCAAATCAATTCACCAGATGATCCCATTGGGGAGCTAGGCGAATATGGCGAAGGTAAGTGTTTGCCTGTCTTGAGACTCAGCTGATGCCTGCAGTAATCGGTATCGAACTTGGAGAAACTTCTCGTGTGGGAATATTTCGGAAGGGAAAATTTCAAATCATTGTCAATGACCAAGGCCAGGAGTCGATACCATCTTGTCTTGATGATGTTTGCATCAAGTAAGTGCTTCCAACTTGGCAAAACCCCGCTTATGTCTCAGACGCCCTCACTTCGATGAACAAGTCTCCTCTCATATCATGAAGCAACTGAAAGCTGCAGCCGAAGATCAACTTGGTACGAACATCACCCATGCCGTCGTTTCCGTCCCAACATACTTCAACGATACCCAGAGACAAGCAACAAAAGATGCTGGCAAGTCTGCAGGTTTAGAAGTTCTCCGTGTTGTCAATGAAGCAACTGCAGCTGGAATAGGATATGAACTTGATCGGAGCAATGACGAACTTAACATCCTCGTTTATCAGCTTGGCTTCAACACATGCGATGTTACTCTGATGACTATTGATCGAGGAGTGTTTGAGATCATGTCTCTTGAGATCATGTCTCTAGCCAGTGCGAAGGTTAGTAGCGAACAATACGATCAAGCAGTCCTTGAACATGTCATTGGGACGCCAGACATGAGATCTCAGGTTACAAAAGCGTTGAATACCCTATCAAGCAAAACATCGGCCAAGATCACTTATTCTCTCGCACAAAAGGAGCTAAAAGAGGTTCATGAAAGAACATTCAACAGGACGATACCATTGATCAAAAGAGTCCTCAAAGAAGCCAAGTTGTATAAAGGTCAAATCGATGGTATAATCCTCACTGGAGAACCTCGGAATGCCGCAAGAATACGACCATTTGTGGAAGCCTATTTTGGCAAGAAGGTTCTCGAAGGGATCAGTTCAGACGAAGTGATCGTTCGAGGCATTGCCAAGCAAGCTGAGGTGCTTGGTTATGAGTCGGATGGTATGTTTCCTTTTCAATTTTGGGGTTACACTCCGTTGTCATTAGGAATTGATAATGGAGGCATCTTCATCTGTGTTGTTCCTCGAAATTCGGTCTTACCTACATCGAAAAGGATTACCATCGTCACTGTTGAGGATAGCCAGACATCAATACAATTGAACGTACACGCAGGAGCAGGATCGATTACTAGCAAGACCAAATTCCTTGGGACTTTGAATGTTCCTGTGACTCCAGGAGTTCCAGTTGATGTATATTTTCAGGTCGACACGAATGGAGGTTTGGAAGTGATAGCAGGAGATGTGAAGCTTCAGATTGAGGATATTAGGTATAGTGGCAGGTTAGACGAGGTGGATTGGATGATCATGGAAGCAGAGATTGAATGGGAAAAAGATTTGGAGGAGAAGGAGGTGATTGAGAAGAATGGGATGGGAAGGTTCAAGGTTGTGGATAGAATTGTCAAGAATTCGTATAAGGAGAGAGAGACAGGGTGGCTTGGAAGATCTTGGAGAAGCGTTTATGGTACATTTTTGGTTGATGGTTTTGCGCGTTGAGTAGATGGAGGATCAAATGTATTATGAAGAACGACCGATTTGTCTTGGCATTCAGGAGCACGGAGGCAATGGAAATCGCGGTGTAAAGCCAGGGTGAAATGATTGGATATTCTTAGAACTTGGGACATTCTATCTAACGTAGTTCATGCCCTAGGGGTGAGCTCAGCCTTGCGAGGTCGCCCAAAATATTGTTAACCGCGAAGCCGCAAAACCCATACTCCTCCATCAAGTTTCACAACAATTCTATCCAGAACAGGCTTCGGCGCGGAATCGATATTATCGATAATATCGTAACGATATCCAATTCCCTGATTGAATAAACGATATTATATCGTCCCTTTTTTTGAACCCGATATTGAATGAATAATCGAATATATCGCACATAGCGTAAATGGTGAAAAAAAACCCGATATATTAATATTAGTACTAAAAATAGAAATTCAATGCCTAGATTTCTGGATTTTAAGGCTTCGAACTTATAGCCTCGGCTGAGCCTCGGCTGAGATTGGTGGTGCTCCACTTATTTTAAATAATGAAAGCCACAATGCGGCTATTATTTGTTTAGCCTTCGGCTAGTCAGTATTCATAGCCTTAGGCTGCTAGTGACTAGGGTGGCTATTGGCTACGGAGCTGGAACAACTATTATACGGGTCACGTGTACGATATAGCGGATATTCAATCGATTGATTCAAAATTACTTGAATAATAATCGAGTTGAATATTGCCTTCCACGATATAATAGCGATAAATGACGACATTATATCGCAAAAAGCGGAGCCGAAGCCTGATCCAGAACGAGGATAGCTTCGAGCACAATTTCTTGCGTACGATATCGTTGTTCGATAGCGCCTACTCCAATTCCACTTTTTCCCGAACTCGATGATACCTGTGATACTTGGCTGCACTGGCGCAGATTCATCTTTACGTCAAGCTCCCCACCCGAACGATGTTTCCAAGCTTCTCATGGCGGCTGCTGACGCGCGTAAATATTATTCAGATCAACTCCTTCTTGGCAACATGTTGATCCCTTTGCCATCTACTCCCTACCTGCGCAGCTACCCCCAACGGGAATGTCCTCCACCCACTCGATCACATATCAAGCCACACTCCTTCACTATCACGGCTGGCGAAGCCGGACTCTCTCCCTGTCATAGGTGTCGGCTACGAACCTGCGGATTGAGCATGGAATGCAATAGTATCTCAAAGCCAAAGAAAGACGCGATCGAGTGCTGTCCCATGTGACTCGATGAGGTTTTCAAATAAGTCGCATAGCTTCGTGCTGTGCATCTTTTAGATTGCCAAGTCTTCTGACTACTTTACAGTGGTCCGTTGGCCAACGTTTAGGTCACTGAAGAACTTGTAGGGGACTCTCTACAGGTTTGAAATGGCCGAGTCGATAGTTTACCCTCGCGTATTCACGGCGAAAATTGATTTTGCCTTAGTGAACTTCGTTCTTCTCTGGCTGCTTTCCTCCATAAGGCGGAGCTTTATGGAGATTAAGGGAAATCTAATGTACCCGGCAAACAAATACAACTTCGGTTCCCAGAGCTGATAATGATATCTCAGGTCTTTGACCATTCATTGTCAGAGCAAGTCCTGAACTATGGCGTAGTTTATGGGCGGCAGCGACGCTGTAAAATCCTGACTGGACAAGGTTTAAGGGCGATCCTCTGGTTCGTTACTTTTACTGGACAACTTCAGGGAGGTTCTTGAACCTCGGACTATCGTCCAAGCCACTCGACGGGAGTCTTGTGGTGTCTATCGCTAGGGGTAGACATTAGAGGGGGGAACTCTCAAGAAGAAAAAATACACCGCAGCTGAATTCCTGATATCATCAAAAGTGTTTGAAGGATTTCAGTTCGCACCCTAAGATCACCGGAGGTGGTCAAGGGGCATGAGTTTAGGTATCTAATGTATTGGTTCCACAATACAGAAGTTGCCAAGTCCTGAATCTACCCAACCAGGCAGGTGATGGGCGTCTCATGAGGTTTCTAATGCATTGGTTGAGTCTTGACCACAATGTAGAAGTTACCAAGTTCCGATCTTGCCCGAATAGGTGGGAGAAGAGCGTGTAGAGGCCTTGGATATACTGGTTGAGTCTTGACCATGACGCAGGGGTTGACGAGCTCGGATCCTATTTGACTAGGCAGAGGATGAGCGATTTCTCTAGAGGCTTTCGATTTATTGTTCGAGTCTTGACCACAATACTGAGATTGCCGAGTTGAAAATCTTCTCGTTGGAGATGCTGGGCGTACTAAACAGGTCGATGATATATGTAAGTAAGCATTTGCCCTGAGATTTTCCCTGCGCGCCTACTAACACACTGAAGAGCAGCTTCAACATCTACTCGAGATAGTTCAGTCTTTAGCACCGCAGGTTGAAGAGGAAAGTCCTCTATAACCAACACCTTGAATACTCTCGCTGATAAATACCGATGGTGTAGGAAATCTTACGACGCGAAACGACCCGAATCGAAGCAAGACCATAGACAGCGAGAGACGGCATGAAGAATAATCAGAACAAGGGATTGGTTACAAGTCATCACCAGGATCTCTGAGAACTAAAGGAGGTTGTGATGGTCGAAGGTATCTTGCTTGGAATTGGTATCTTGGTTGGAGGCTTACTTGTTCTGAGAAGGGAATGGGAATGTCAATACTCAAGGAAGCGTGGTTCTGGAGGGATGTGGAAAGCTGGGGGAAGGTGTGTGAGACAGGAGCAAAGTGGGAGCCCAGAAGCTGTAAGGCAAGCAGGATGTGCCAGACTGGAGAGAGGTGGGAGGTTCGAGGTTTGAGGAGACTTGCCATAGAAGAAGCTGTGATTGACAATGGAAAGCTACTTCTCCACAGTATCACTCCACTGTGACCAGTATATTCGTATCTAGCTCCTTGCCAGTGCTGACCGTGCGACCGTTTTCCCTGCCTCTATTCCTGAGCACGTTGTAGGGTTCTTGAATTAATTAATAGTTCGACCCTTCACCAGATGCTTCCGCACGGTCTTCATAATTCAGAGTCATCACCACTCCACCTAACACATAACACAGATATATACAGTTTTCGAAGATGGAAGAACGTTCTTTGTATTTTGGTCACGATATTCGTTTATTTTCTTGGCATTCAGGGGCTCATGGGAAAAGAGCCAAGAGAACATAGATAATTGAAACAATTGGTGTAATGCAAATGTATAGAGATGCCCTCAAAGACCGGAAGATCCCTTTTCCTTGCTCTCTGACGTCGAAATCCCGCTTTCCTGAAAGTTCTTAGCATCGAAGCACGTGACCATATCCCAAAGTAAACCTCCGCGAAATTTCAACTTTTTCTTCTTCAAGAGACCCCCGACAACGAATATTGCCCTGGCAATTTCGCATTGCCTGAACAACTAAGTTAATCCCTTTCTTATTGGAATCCTAGATCTCGATCTTGATGGCGGCTCTGCTGGCTGCTTCGCGCTCTTCCCCAGACTCCCCAGAGGCTCCAACGCGTCCGATTGAGGGGTTTCTTGATGACTATCCTTCCTGAATCATCAGAAAAGCCTTTCCCAATCTTCTGATGCCCATTTGACGGGATATCCACGACCTCTTCAACTCTACCGCAGCTCCAACCCCGCTCCAAACATCTGCTAACATCACCCTTCCAGGAACGCTTACGACCTCTCTTCTGCGCGGCCGGCGACCTATTCGTCAAGGCTTTCACACCTCCCTTCTGCCCTGCGGCACCTTTGGGGCAACCCTAGGTGACCAAAGGGCTTTGTTAGACAAGCCTTCCCTCCTTCTTTTTCCCCGCCCGCCCTTCGACTTCAGCTGCGGCCCCTGCCAAAGCACACACACGAAGACCCCTTTTGTGTGGTTACGTAGCTCCGCTACGTGTTCCGTGCCTAAGGACTTCACCCGATCTCGTACACCGAAACGACTCTCACGAGTCGTTGTACTTGGTCACCGGACTTAGTCCAAACCTACTTAACACCTGGTGTTTCGTAGGCGCCTTTATCTTCATTGATAAGGGAGAGGTGCGGTCTCGCTCCTCACAAACCACTTTCAATGGCTGCCGTCGAACCGGCACCGAGCCAAAGCACAACCCGAAGGACTTTTTGTGGTGTACGACTCTAACGGGTCGTTTCTCACACCAAGGACTTCAAATACCTCGTACGGTGTGCGACCTTAACGGGTTGTTTCTCGTACTTCTTGGTATCCCCGGGCTACGGTCCAAACCTATCTAACACTTCATTGCGTTCGATAGGGAGTTTATCTTTCGAGATAAGCTAGACGGCCTTTGGCAGTCTAAATTCATCTTAAATGCCTCCCAAGGCAACAAAGGCTCCCGCCAATCACTTTCCACACTTTAGGTATTCCCACGAGTCGCAAGATTCTGCGTCTCTTAAGAATATCAAGTTAATAGTTTACCTTCGGGTATTCAATTGGCGAACCACCCGGGTCCAAGTAGGATTGTAGAGGCATTCATTTGTCTCTACTCTGAGAACCGGCCAAGTCGATAGTTTACCTCCGCGTATTCACCGGCGAATCCCCTTGCTTTAGTGAACTCAGTTTATCTTTAGCACCCCTTTTCGCTTTAAATTCCTTCAAAGTTATCTTGATTGGAATTTTTAGCAGCTTTACATTCCTTCTAAGGATTCTTAGTTGGAATTTAGCACGGCAGCTCGCACTAGAGTTGCTTATTTACAAACCAAAAACATCGGCCATGCAAGATAGCATTGCTGAGTTTGTTAGCTGACGCGCAAACTCATGATGAAACTCACAACTTGGAAGGCCATGCAAACACAAAGCATTGCCGAGTTTGTTAGCTCACGCGCAATCTCAGATGAAACTCACAACCTAGAAGGCCATACAAGGAGATCCCACGAGATCGCATCGCCGAGTTTGTCAGCTCACGCGCAAACTCAGATGGAAGTCACTGCCCCGTAAGTTCAACTTCGCCAAATCACAGCTACGGAGTATGCTAACACAGTCTAGTGTCCGAAAATGAACGTCAAGTTTTGTCCTTGCAACATCGGTTCACCTGCCTTGGTGGCCGTCTCTTCAACACACTTGTCGCGTCTGCGTACCTAACGCCTCGTATCCGATGCTTTTCACATCCCCTCCGGACGATACACATCGCCAACAGTCAAGTACACCGCAAGCTATATCGTGGAGGGAGCTATAGGTTAGCGGCTTCTGATGGGACCTGGTCGGGAAGGAGCTGTGATAGACAATGAAAGACGACTTCAAACCTGAAATTCCCCGTGATTGCTCATTGTTCTCGTTGTGATGATGTTTCGATGTCCCAGTTCTACATCTCTTCTGTCTATCTCATTCTCAGAACTAATTGATGACAATTCCTCTTTACCCTAACCTCAACTACCAAGGAAAGTTCGAGGCGTCCTTCATATGCCCCACTCCGATCGTTTCCAAGCAGTTCCAATACTAGTGTATTCGAAAATCTCTGCATTAAAATGTCTCCACAGAGCGTTCCAAAGTACAGCCGATCGTGCGAGGCTCTCCTCCTGACCCTTCCTCGAAATAGTTTCTTTCTCAATCCTCCTGAGAAGGTACGTCCATTTTTCTTGCATTGTTTGCGATCTGCCGATATGCTGGCTGCCCCGACACCTTGCTCTACGATCCCGCGCCGCTATCACTGTTCCCACTCCCTGCTTTTGTCTGTCTTGCTGGTGTGCGTGGCGCCATGGCTTCACGATTTCCGAATGCGATGTTGTTCTCCTAGGTGGCTCTGTGCTCTCGATGGGTTGCTGTCATTCCAGTCACCTTTCCACTCGCTCTTACAGGCTCGCCTCCTATATAGCCTATATTATGGTCTATCTGCCAGCGAACCTACATCGAGAAGTAATTGAGACATGGCGAACAATCGTAGCAGAAGATTCTTGGGTTTCGTGTGGTCGGATTCTCTTGCTATACAAGAATGGTTGGCAGAGCTTCTCTTCTAGTGCGGGGCACGTGTATTCCATACTGATGCCTCAAGCCAGCTGCTGGCGAGAAAACTGAACGATGAATGTTCAATGCAGTCTCAAAGGAACAATCGAGGATACAAGGCCACACGAGGTATTCTGGTGCCAGTCCGGAAGTCCCAGCGTCAGAGGAACATTGCCACGAGTTTCGTGTAGGACGGAGATGTCAGAGATCATGGGATATGGTGCTTTATGAATCCATTGAAGTTGAGAGCTCAGCAAGAGACTTCTCATGATGCTGTTGTTAAGGAGGCTCGTTGAGATGAGAAACCACGAACTTCATTTGGTGGTCGTTTTTGCCCCGCTATCTGACCAAAGATACCTTCCCGAGCTGCGCACTCGAAACCCAAACCGACATTCGCAAGCCTAGCAAAGATCCGAGAACATCATTTGTGATAAAGACTAAGTGTTCTTCTAGCTCTGGGACAATTATGACCAATTTACTAACATCAAAGCAGTCACGCCAGCATTAGCATCCACGTTCCAGCTCGACCAGACTTTGTAGCCATGAAAGAAGCGCAAACTTCAACATACTTGCCACATTCCAGCCTGTCCAGCTAGCTTTGCTTACTAGAGCTTCAATCGAGTTCTCCTAAAACTTGTGACAAATCCTGCTTAGCAGCAATGAAGTGCAGCCCACGAAAGCCTAAAGTCAAATCATTGGACGATCCAAAGGCTGTCAGCTTTCCACAAGCTTCTCATTCACCTACTCCATTGCTATGTGTCTAGGCACACCGGGTTCAGTTGCCAATTTCACATTATCGGTAAGTAAGAAGTCATGGCACGCCCTTAAGAAGTGTGGCAAAAGTGGGGGACATTCGACTTAAGTCTCACTGCTCTTCACAGCAATCCTTCAACTTTCACCATGGCTTCGATGGAAAAGATCTTCTCTGATTATGACGCTCGAAAATTACATCTAGAGTCGAGCGATAATCAGTTCGCAAAGGGAGTGGCCTGGGTTGAGGGAGAACTAACCCCACTCTCTCACGCTCGAATTCCTTTGATGGACCAGGGCTTCTTACACAGCGACTTAACATACGATGTTCCAGCAGTGTGGGACGGGAAGCTTTTTCGTCTGGACGATCATTTAGAGCGTTTAAATCTCAGTTGCGAGAAGATTCGATTGAAGCTTCCTTTGCCTCGAGAGGAGATCAAGCAGATCTTGATGGATATGGTCGCGAAGAGTGGAATTCGAGATGCATTCGTTGAACTTATCGTCACGCGAGGATTGAAAGGCGTGCGTGGATCGAAAGGAGAAATGGTGAACAAGCTCTACATGTTCATCATGCCGTACATTTGGGTTATGGAGCCAGAAGTGCAACGAGCTGGTGGGAGTGCTATCATTGCGAGGACCGTGAGGCGTGTTCCTCCAGGGTCGATTGATCCAACGGTCAAGAATTTGCAATGTAAGACAATCAGCTGAGGAAGGTGCCATGCTGACAGCCATAGGGGGAGATTTGACTCGAGCAATGTTTGAAGCAAACGACCGTGATGCAATGTAAGTAGCGACTTCATGGAGTTGTTCTTCTCTGACTCTTCAGGCATCCATTCTTAACAGACGGAGACGCCAATCTGACAGAAGGATCTGGATTCAATATTGTACTCATCAAGAACGGTGTCCTCTACACTCCCGATCGCGGCGTCTTGCATGGTGTCACTCGAAAAAGTGTCATGGATGTTGCAAAAGCCAATGGCATCGAAGTTCGAGTTGAGGTGGTACCTGTGGAACTTGCTTATCAAAGTGACGAGATCTTCATGTGTACGACAGCGGGTGGAATCATGCCGATTACGGTCCTTGATGGAAAGCCAGTGAATGATGGAAAGATCGGCCCTATCACAAAGATCATTTGGGATGGGTATTGGAAGATGCATTTTGACTCGGCATACACACTTGCTGTTGACTATGGAAGAGTATGAGGTTGGGTTGAAAGATGTCAAGATCTTCTGAAAGTCAAAGCTTTAAGGTTTTGGATAATTTGCTCCAATGCAAGTTCCATCTGCACCGACTTATTCACCAAATACTGAGTAGGCGGTGCATATCCATCTCTACAACTACTTCTGAATTTCAAGGTATCATGAATCAATTTTCCCATTCTGGTGTCCCGTATGGGGTTAGTAAGCTTGCTGCTCTTGCTCAGGCGCTAATCACCCTCGGCTCACCCTCGGCTCAGTCGACTCGCCTGAGGAACCTGAGCACCCTGAGCAACTCACCTGAGCGTCCTGAGCACCCTGAGCACCCTGAGCAGCTCACCTGAGCAATCCCTGATCATCCTGAGCAAGATTGATCACATCATCACGTGTTTTGACTTTTCGCTTTTTAGCCAATCACACTTGATCTGACCTTCGTTTTTCTCTTATCGTTTTTGTCAAGTTTTGACGAGGATGCTGAAGGAGCCCAAAACGAGTTCCCAAGGAACCCAAAGTGGACACTTTCCAAAAATATACTCAGTGCTTTGCCTACGGTGTAAGTTGCATCAACATGGATGCCCCCCGAGGAGAGTAGTTCTCTTCCCTCTATAATTTCGTTCCTGCTCCGTACTTGTTTTGTTTTGATCTGAATACCTCTCTTCTTCAATATCGTCGTTTTTGATCAACTTCCTAAATCTCTTTGCAAAATTCATTTTATCAATTGTCTCCTATCTACTGATCTTTGCAAGTTACTGTTTCAGTATCCTCAATGCCAAAAAAAGGAGTCAACGGAGGAGTTCTTCGCACGATCCCGTGGCAAAGGCTCTGGTATCAAGTCAGAAATTGTCAACGGAAAAAAGGTGAAAAAAGATCTCCAGCCAGGAACAAAGAAGAATTATACTCGTGCCCTAGCGCGATGGGACCAGTAAGTGCTATTTCCTGATTTCTAGCAAAAAATTCTTCTAATGCTTCTCTCTTCACCAAACAGGTTTGAACTCGAACACCCTAGAGCTACCCCAGATGATATAGAAACATCAAAAGATTGGGCCAGATGTATTGCATATGGTATCGTAGGTGGTTATGGCGACGATATTGCGGGGCTAGGCTCTGTTGTCCGCTCGTGGAAGGATCTCACAGCAGGCTGGCAGTGGGCTGAACGCAAGCCAAAGATAGACCCTGAAGTAGTCATTACCATCTCAAACGTAAGTCCTAGAGGCACTATTTCCACTTTGCTAAGGTATTATATACAATCGCTAATAGAGTATAGTTTATAAAAGGTCCTTTGCAGAGAGAAATCGGCCTGCGCTATAGGAAGCGAGAGAGGAAGTACGGCACCATGATTCACTTCATACACCTTGGAACACAGCTCTGGTCAAATGATTAGCATACTTATAGAAAACCAAGGACAAGATTGGAAGTATGGGGCCAGCTACAAATGCAAGTATTCACATCAGCAAGAGTCGGCGAGTACATACAATCAACTTGTCGTCCTGGATCAGGTCGAGGCCTTTATTATCGAGTAAGTTCTCTGGTTCTTTGAACTCTTCCGAGCCTAGGCGAACGGCTAACAGTTTATTCTAGGACATCACTTTTGCGGTGTTTCGAAATGAGGATGGAAAGGCAGAGTTTGCCATGCAGGTTGTGCGAGACGCAAAAAACATGACATTTAAGCCAGATAAAAGGTGTCGTTATACTACCTAATACCTTGAAGCTATTCTCCAAGGACTAACCATGAAATAGGCCGAAGCACTCATTGCACGAAGGTTTACAACCTCGACCGCTCTTTTGTAATCCGATCCTTACGTATCTCGCCAAATTTATCGCAAAAAGGGTCTTCAGAGATTATAAAACGATGGAAGAGCTTCTTGGTCTTGAGCCGGCCGGGGATGAGATGTTCCAACTTCATTGGGATCCAGAGGTCCTTGATCTGCCCTTCTTCCAGAAAGATGATGGAGAGATCGACACGGCAGACATACTCAGTAAACGTGTGAGAGAGTTGGGCTTTCGTTCGGGATATGAACTCCCGCCTACAATCCATGATTTCAGGGCCGAAGGTCTATTTCTTATTGGTATACTCCACTAGTACTAATTGAGCGAATTTGTTCTCAAAACTAATGTGTTCTTAGATAAGCTTTATTCAACGGCTCAGAGAATGAAGCATGGCGGTCATACCGATGAGAATACTCATCGCGATCATTATGCACCTAACAACGCTGGAACTGACGGCCAAGGCAGCTACTTCGGCGATAAGCTACGCAGTATTGTTAACGACAGATTTCGGTCCATGACCTTGTGTCGCAATCCCGAACTTTGGCAGTCTCTCCCGGCAGAAAAACAGCATGAGCTGGAAAGTAGCCCTGAATTTACCGCCATCGAACAGGAGCTGGAAGCTCTGTCTCTAGATCCTAGGGACGACTCGGCGGTCACTCATCGACGAAAAGAGTTACGTACAGAGGAAAGAAAACTTATTGCTGAAGAGCTTCGCAAGAGCTGGAAACTCTAGCCGAGCAGAATTCCTTGCAACAAAGGCGAAAACTGCTTAATCGGGTACTACTAGACTATATTTTCCCGCGTCCGCGCCTTAATGCCAGAACGTGACCGCTTGGCATCTAGTTTGTTTACCGTCGCTTCTATTCGTAGTGAAGAAGGGCAAGCAGTCCTCCGTGATATGATCGCGCTCTATCAGAAAGAAACTGAAGTAGCGGTTCGTCCGGGATTGGAGCCAGAGAAGTGCATTTGCTTGCCGACAGAGTCTAAGAGGAATATAGATAGGTTCGTATACTCTTTAAACCCTTTTTTAGAGTTCGTATAATACAAAGCGCTAATGTTAGATTTTTGAATAGTAAGCCGGCTGCCCAGAGATGGAGGCATATCTATGGCTGTTATAGAAAGAGCCTTAGAGCCACCTCTGGATTTGCAGAAATGTGCTTTTTTTGCAGCGAATGGGTTATGGGAAAATACGAGTGGGAGAACCATTGCCAGGTCCACTTGGACGGCCATAAACCTCTACCGGCTCAGTGTGACCCGCTCTTCTACGGCGGGACCCTAGCTTCACCTGGCATATGCCCCTTCTGTCTGGACGATGCAACACTTTCAGCTGCTGAACGAATGCATCAGTTCTATGACAAGGCTGAATGGAGAGATCATATTTCCGACCACTTCGGAATCTTTGAAAAAAATGTTGGAAGTCTGCATGAGGGCACATCACACAAATGCCCAATTCCAAGGTCACACTGTCCTGACGATTTCGTGTCAGCGCAACAGGTGAAATTTCACCTTCAGAATAATCATGGTGCTGAATTTGCCAAGAGAGCGAAGAAATCTCGGCCCCTGGATGAAGTGGACGCCAGCTGCCCTAAATCTAAGAGGGTCAGAAGCGTTATCAAGCAGGAACCAGACACAGATGTTGGAGAATACTCCAAACCAGCTTACGAATTTGTGTATCAGACGGCGGAACAGTGGTGTCGAAAGAGCCATAATGCCTCGAATCCAGCAGCTATTCGTTCTGCTCTTTCAAGTACGCCATCAACTGCTCCTTCGACAGCTCCATCAATGCCCCCTTCACTCAATTCCAGGGCTTCAACGCCAATAACTGACACATGCGGGAGTACGACTCATATGCCAGTGTCACAAATTTCTAATGACGCCAATGGCAATATCGATCCACTCCTTCTTTTTATGCCAGGTACCGCGGTATCTGTCGGAGACAATATAGCTCTCTCATCACCACGTCAAAGCTTTACTATTACCTCCCGTGAATCGAACTCTATAAGGGAGTCTTCTGAGGTGTGCAACATAGTGTCGGAATATGATGTGATTGAAGTAGAGGACCCTACAAACCTCGACGAAGAGTCTCAAGCCTTAGAGGCTGGTGAGTCTATTACACATGTTGCCACAACTCCGAGTATGTATTAATAACACCGATATTTTGGAGACTTGAGTCTGATTCAAACACAGAAGCTTTTACTACCCCAGCGGACGACAATGACTGGCTGGACCTTTCGACTATCAGAGACACTCTACCCAGGGAGAAGCCATTAGTGGAGTCAACTGATGTTCTGACCTATGAAGATATAGCTATTGAGACAGGAGGGCGCAAATGCCTTAAAGAAGATTTTGTGTTTGTCGGCGACTCGTTAGATCCAGGTAACTCGAGACTGCTTATTCAATCTTTGTATTGTTTGCTCATTACAACTAGACATACGGAATATCCATGATCGCAAAGAGCTGCCCGACTCATATATCAGTGGAGCTCACAGTAGTCCTGGTAACAGCCCTACTGAAGGCATATCTACTTCTCATCAAGACCCAGAATATCAGCAGCTCAGCGAACAAGCTGTTCAGGAAACTAGGCCATCCCCTGTGGACCCCGAGGATAACCAGTTCGAAGTTGAGCGAGTTATAGATGATCAAGTTGTCCCAGTCGGTCGAGGGAGGCGCAAGAAAATGATTACCCAATACTGGGTCAAGTGGAAAGGATATCCAGAAGATGATAATAGCTGGGTTAATGAGGCTGATATGCATGGGGATCTCATTAAGGCCTATATGGCAGGAAAGAGCTCAGATTGAAGTTATATCACATGTAAGATCTTTGAAGGCACTCTTCGGTCGTTCCAGTACTCTTTTGTCCTCTTTTATACAAATCAATTGATTCTCGACCAACAACTTACTACTGTTTAGGCTTTGACGCCCTAGCCAAGGTCCCATTCTTTTAAGAAATAGATCGTTTCTTGCCTTATCATAACCAGATATCCCCTTACTGCGCATATTCTGGCTTCTATCTACGCACACATATACACAAAAAGTGATTTGTTTGTGGCATCCACCCAATATTTCTTTGGTACCGTGATTGTACACAATCCTTATGATCTTTTCCCTCAAATTTGCGAATAAATCTAAAATGGGTATATCTTCCAGGTTGTGCCCATGTTTCATCACTTCAAAGGATCTCATCCCAGTGCTCATCTGTTCAGCTACCATGCGATAAGCTTGGTATGCAGGAAGGAATTCTTGTGACTTGAGTTAAATGGAGGGCGATATGGAAGTGAAGTTGGTATGAACAAGTAAAGTGATAGGCTAATGTGGGGTAGCTTTTGGATTCGGTGTTTGAGGTTTAGAAGTGATAAACTAATTAGATCAAATAAGCTTTGAAGAGGCAATGGATTATCAAAGAAGTAGGTCAAAGATTGAAGAAGCGTATGTGAGTGGGGTTGGTTGTTGTTGCAAGGTTGCACAAGGTGAAGTGGTTGGAGGTTAGAGGTTAAGGATTAGAAATAGACGCTAAATTTCAGCCTTGTAGCTTGTCCACGGTGAGGTTAGCTAAACCAAGCTTGCGTCCTACTGCAGTGCTCCCAACGGGTAGGTCAGTTCCGCGCTATCGTAAAAACCTGTTCGTACCAAAACAATTCGGGTAAGGAATTTTAAAAATATAATATATTTCCACCAACTATACTAGAATCCTATATCAATAAGTCGAGTTGTTATGTCTGCCAAGTGCTTGTTCTTATCTTTTAACAAATATGGAAACAAAGCTTGAAGTTGAGTAGCTCTTCGTTATCCCATGTGATGGCTAGCTTCTGTTGATCTCGTCTCAAATACGGTCTCGAGATTAATATATCGCCTGGTACCACCCTCGATCTTTATTCTCCTCTTTGTTTCTCATCTTCCATAAAGTCGTATGGAAATTTTGGGAAGTAATATTGTCGCTGAGTTCAAGTTAATAATAGCAACAAGTCTTGGCTTTTTGGGTTCGACTTTCTTTCTCTAGAGCAAGTACTTCTATGAGTCTGAGAAGATGCAAGAAATGAATGTTAATCTTTATCGCGGCTTATGTTCAGCAAGAAACAATGGCTCCAAGTGGGGTGAATCATCTTTCATATAGAGTGTAGCAGCTTAATTTTGAGGGTTCCCTATTCGGCTCCACGGGGAGGGGGGAACGTTCTAAAGCGTTCGGAAAGTGCCCCCGTGGAAGCTTAAATGTGCTCCTATGTAAGTTGTTCTCTGGTGATGTAATGTTGAGAATCAGATTGCAATATAAGTTAGAGTTTATTTAATAAAAGTCTAATTTTAACGAAAGTGAAACGCTTTACGCCCAAGATTCTCATGACAGAGTGTTTTGATAGCTGTTATTATTAGTATTTTCTCCTTATTAGTTCTGATTTCTATTCTTTAAAAAGAGTACATATAATTTAATTGGCAAAAAAGCTAAACTGTAGCAAAATAACGCATTAATCAGTTTCTAATGCGGCCTTTGTACCTTCTTTAGATAAAGATTGCGGTTGTCATAACTAATAGCATCATTAAAATAGCGCAAGCGGAAGCTCCCCAGCCATAACTAATTGCCACTCGTTTCTCTACCTGGATTAGAGGTTGCAAATCCCGGATCTTTCTTTGTACTTCGTATAAAATAATAGTAGGTGCCAATAGAAGTAAGCAACATACTACTCCAGAGACCAGAGGGATCCCGAATTTCAGAAAGAAGTGTACGAAGGAAAACAAACGAGTAAATATTAAGAAAACCAATATTGTACCCATAATAAGGATAAATCCCAGGCCGAATCGTAAGCAGTATTCAATATTGGTTGGGTTGACTCTCGCCAAGATCCCCGCTAGAGGCTGAAGTGCCTGGAAGTCGTCCGCAAGGAAGCTTACAACAACTTCCGGTATGATCCTGGATACGTTTAATGGAAATTTATCGCATTGTTGTGTATGGTTGGCGAATCCCACGCAGAAACCCTTTGTACCCAGCGAACAATTTAAGGGAATTGATCCCTCGATAGCAGCCGTTGCGGCTGTTGCGACGGCGCTCGCAACGCTTTGTGCGTTATTAACTGCAGTTGCAATAGCTGTGGCAAGCACGCTTGTCGCACCCTGGGCTTCGCTTGCAAGAGGTTGGAGAAGGTCAGGTACTGAATTCGCGTGTATCTTAGCCAGTGCGTGATCGGGGAGATGGATATTGGTGAAGTTAAACTATGACAGGTATTAGCCAACGCCAAATGGATTAGAAATAAGCTCCTACGGTTAAGGTGGCAATGCCAGCTTTCGCAATATTATCTTGTCTCAGTAGTAGGATTCCCAGTACAGCACAGCAGACAGCAGCGGGAGGAAAAGACCACCAGGGTGAATATTTTCTGTACACTACTCAGAAGCATGGCGAGAGGCAAAAAGTGGGATGGCAACTGGGTAAGTTAAAGTCATCTGTGTCGAGTGCTGGTGTTGAGGAATAAGTACGCTTCAACATGGAGTGGCTACAAATGGCTCCAGTATCAAGATGTGTATTATTCCAAACTAAAAATAACAGATCTACTACCTCCTAGTCACAAGGGCCGATTGCGGCACATGAGATCCTTTTCCTCCTACCAGGACCCCTAATTTTTGAAGTGATGCTGACATGGTCGTCTCTCAATATGTAAGCTACGGCAATCTCAAATACTTCTCTAATAGCAACACTTTTGGTTTATTCATTCGACTTATAATACAATGGCGAGTGTACCTTCCTCCGCCACTGTGTTAGTCTCCTATCTACAAGCTCAAGTTAATGATATTGTTCGTATTATGCGAGAAACTATCAAGGAAGTATCAGAACGAGGAGAAAATCTAGATTCATTACAAGGCAAGACTGATGATCTTGCTGTACATTCTAACGGCTTTCGTCGGGATGCTAATAAAGTGAACAAGCGGACGTGCTCCAAGCATGTCAAAAGTCGTATGTATTTAATTAGCTGTGTTATCTTTTTATTAGTTGTTCTACTCATTATACCTGTGGTAACATTGGCATTGAACCGTCATAGCTAATTAGCACTAGAACAACGGGGACAGCTACAAGGCAATGAAGATACGAACTAAGGGGAGAAGTAGATGGATTTGATGGCGGTTGAAAAGACTCTAAAATCCAATAATGAAGGGACGTCTAAAAACAACACGTGAAAGTAGCTTAGGAAAACAGATAAGTTATGTAACTTAATTTATTGTTTGCATGATCCAAAGGAATGCCAAGATCCCACCAAGCATGTTCGAAGGGAATTTTGTGGAAGAGGGTGAAGTCAATTCAGGCCTCCACCGGTAGTTGAGTCTGAGTCAGACTCGTCGTTATCGTCTTCTGAATCCGAGTCGGTAGACGAGTCTGTGTCAGAGTCGTTGTGATGGTCGCTCGACCCCCCGGTATGCCGATCTTTCTTGTCCCAAGAAATTTTAACAGGCAAGATGGAAATTGACGTTTTCGGTTGCTGAAGCTCTCGTCTCCGAACACGCCAAAGTCCCCATCTAAGAAATACAAATTAAGGTACGCTTTTGCTTTCCCTTTGTCAACACGTTCTTGTGCGTGGTCCATCATATTTCCTCTCGGACCATGGAGGCTCAATTTGAGCAGCAAGGTTTGTCCCACCCGACTTCCTGGGAAATCCCAGGTGATAGGCATTCGGAAACGCAAGTAAATTAAACGAGGCAAGAACCCGTTGGCACAGACGAGGTGGCACATGAAGTGGGTTGGGAGACCACTATGCGTACTACTGTGTTGAAAATTGCGAGTATATCCGGCAACATGAACGATGAGTCGAGTGACCGATGTTGGGAGGGAGCCTATGAGTTTGATCATTGCTCCCTGCCAAATCTGTTCTTCTGGTAGTTGCAAGCTTGTTTCCATGCGTAATCCTAATCGAAACGTACGTAAATTGACCATGCCTGGCATAAACGCAGCAAGAGAGTCCAAGTTCTGGCAATACGCAGTGTTTTGCGGCGACATTTCCAATCCATCATTGTTGCCTGTATAAGCTACTCCATTGATGGTTAGAGATCTTAGGCAAGACCGAACGAGGTCATGGGAAATTTTGGGTGCTCCCCGAAAGTGCAAGAGACATCGTGGAAAAAGCACAAGATCTTCAAATGCGACAATTCGTGCCATGCGATACCTGTTGAGCCCCCTCGTTAATGTCGTGCGCGTTGCAATTGGAACTGGCACGAACCACGTAGTGAACAAGACAAGTATCTCCATCTTGCTTCTAAGATAGACACTGCCTAACAGCCTCGCTATTGCCAAAAGAACTTCTGCCGGCAAGGCATCCATCGGCATCATGGAGTATGATTTTGCTTATGGTGGGATTAGCATAACGATCAAGACACACGGTAATGAGTCCATAACGCACCAGTATAATGGCAATCCCAAGAAGTCGAATTGAGCTACGAATTAGCGGTGTGACCCTAGATCTAACCGGAGCTTATCTCTACACCATAATACTACACCTTACTAATACATCATCATCTACCATATGGGTGCATCACCAGCCACTAACGAGAAAACGCTCTCCATAAAATCAAAGGGCAAAAATCCAGTGGAGCCAGGAGGTCTCGGTGGTTTCAAAAGCTCGAACATATTATATGATAGTTTAGAACATAATTTCTTGCTAATATATTGATCCCAAACCATCGCGTACAGTCCTCGGACAATGTTACAATCTCTTCCATACTACACGCACAACGTGCTCTTTGAGTGAACGGAGCTCGCTTCATTCCCACTATTAGTAAAGCTTCATTGAGGGTCATCTAAAGCGCGTGTTTCGTTCTGCTGTACTTTCGAGATGTCTTCCCTCCAACAGCGATACCATGAGCCCTGCTGCCATATTCTTTGTCGTATCTCTGCAATCCCATCTCCAAGTTGTCTGTCTTTGAATGATAGCACAAGTTGCGCTGGAAGGGAAAAGGCTTGACTCCATTTCTCCGATTCGAGTAGACCTTTCCACGCTCCTTCATAGAGCGCCAAAGCATCTTCTTGAGCTCGCGGTATCAGATAAGTGATGATCTCGACCGCCACGGCAGCTGTACACTCCCCTCGCCTTACTTCCTCTGAGAAAATAGTAAGGAGGGTCTGGCGTCCGTTGTTCATCCTTGGTCTCAAAAATATTGTACCAACATTTCGACGAACAAATGAAGTTGAAAAGAGTTTTTCGGTTTGTAATCCCACCAAGTATAATAAGAACAACCTCGCAAATATTTGATACAGCCATGTATAAAGAGAAACGTTGCTTGAGTAGTGAGAGGTTATATCTGTTGAAATTCTGAGGCTTTGACGGTGAATTTGGGGAAAGCGCTGTGTTGTCTACTATGCGAAAATCTGTGAGCCGAGAATACTTCAGTAGAGCAGAAGCAGGGGGCAGAAGCAGGGGGCAGAGGCATGGGACAAGGGTGGATCCGCTACTTTAGCGTCATGCCTGATGTGACGCGAGCGGAAAGGTTAACCTATCAACACGACAGAAGTCAAGAGTAATTGGATGCAAATTCAAATATTGGAGATTTGGTTAAGAATCTTAGTGGCACTAAAATGCGCGGGAGCAGATTGCATGATTGGTACAATAATCGCAACTGCATCAACCCTACAACCGTGACAAGCATCCCTGTCTTCAACGGCTTCCTACTTCTGTGCTTTACTCTTGTTATCTCGTGAAGCTAAAGCTAGATATAAAGCCTCCACCTGGCACTCTATTTCTAAAGAAGCCTTACACAAGCCGAAATCCATACAGGCTCCTCGGAAGCTATGCAAGACGACCTTTCTGAAATGAGGAAAGAGAACCAACCTGTCTCGATTAAGAGAGGATGGAAGTTCTACGGAACATTTGGGACCTTGGCACTCCTTAATTTTATATGTGCTATTGATGCCACTATTCTCTCAGTAGCATTACCTGTAAGAGACTCTTCAGATATCCTCTATACCATACTGACTATACTTCAAAGACAATAGCTACAGATCTGAAAGGCAGCACTGCTATTCAGGCTTTCTGGGTTGGGAATTCATTCCTATTGTAAGCCCGAGGTGTCTTCTGACTTCACAGGTATAAAGACTAACACAATCACAGGTGCTCGACAGTCTTTCAACCTTCATGGGCATCCTTCTCACACATTAGCGGTCGAAAGTCAGTCCTCATGGCGGCCTTGGTACTCTTCACAGTGGGCACTATCATCGCATCAGTTGCTGATACTGTTGCGCTACTACTTGTGGGGAGATGTGTGCAAGGTGTCGGAGGCGGGGGCCTCGTCGCCCTCACCTATGTTATTATTACCGATTTGGTTACCCTGCGCGAGCGAGGTAAATACATGTCTATAATTTCACTTCAGTGGGCGATTGGATCCGTTATCGGTCCAGTCATTGGTGGCGTTTTCGCGGAGAGAGCTACCTGGCGATGGATTTTCTGGCTTAACATTCCATTCTGTGTGATTGCTGCTATAGGAATCCCCATTTGTCTCAGGCTACATATCAAGGAGGGCTCGGTCTGGAAGAAACTTCGCGCCTTCGACTGGTTTGGATCCTTCCTCTTCGTGGCTGCGACGACAAGTTGTCTCATCCCAGTAACATGGGTCAGTCTACGATCCGCTGTTCAAAGCATCATTTCTAATATGTGTAGGGCGGGATAATGTACGACTGGTCCTCATGGCAGACCCTTGTACCACTCATACTCGGCGTCTTTGGCCTCATTGGATTCACCATTTACTCCGTCAATAGATCCACCGAGCCACTCATACGCCGTACCCTTTTCAACAACTCCACCGCAATCGTTGCCTACATCGGCACATTAGTTCAAGGCCTGTTAGTCTGGTCGCTGCTCTACTACATGCCCCTCTACTTTGAGGTTGCGAAGAACTACTCGCCTGTCACCTCTGGCGTTGCTATCTTCCCCTTCACCTTCATAGTCGCACCCGCCGCTGTCGTCGTTGGCCTCATAATCACCGAGACTGGTCGCTACAGGCCCTCACTCTGGATCGGATGGTTTCTTACAACCTTAGGCATGGCTCTCCTCATCTCTCTCCGTCAATCAACCAATATACCTTCTTGGGTATTTCTCTCCCTCGTCGGTGGGATAGGTCTCGGCATGCTTTTCAGTGCTCAGGGCTTCGCTGCGCAAGCCTCCGCCTCCAACGATGATCTCCCTTTCGCTGGCGCTATGTACAGTTTCTTCCGGGCCTTTGGGCAAACTCTCGGCGTTGCCATCTCGGGCGTCATTTTCCAGAATGCTTTTAAGAAGAACATCCTGGCCACCGCATATTCTGCTTTTGCAGATGACTGGTCACGAGATGCGAGTTCATTAGTGCAAATTGTAAGAGCGTGGAGTAATATTGGGGAGGAAGGGGTTATGAAGGAGGTGGTGGTTCTGGCTTATGTTAAGAGCTTACGGACAGTGTGGTGTGTTATGTGCGCGTTGGCCGGTGGAGCATCTATTGCAAGCTTAGTGTGGACAAGGGAGATTAGCTTGGAGAGGGAGTTGGAGACAGAACAAGGGTTTAGATATGACATGGACGAATGTAGATGAGAGAAGGCTATGACAAGTGGTCATTCCTGCGTTTAAGTCGTTCATAGCCACGGGGGAAGGGGAAGGGCTGTCACATATGTATTGACATTCTAGTCTTGGGATAGGAGAAATTTTAACCTCAATTGCTTTCTAACAACTGCTATCTGTTATCAATCTAATGTCTAATAGATTCAAGTATCATTAGATTAACTACGCACAAAGACAATATTTTAAATATGTACCTACTAGCGTAGGAGGGCTAAGAGGCCAAAGAGCGCTGCAAATCATACCAATGCGACATAGGATCAATGACTTCATGTTCCTGATTACCAGATATTTCATGAATATCTTCAAGGTGAAAGTTCTCCAAAGAGTAATCGCGGTAAATGTAACGTACGAAGCTGGCAAATGACTGCTGTTCGAAAGTCATTTGTTTTAGTTCTATATTCTTTAGAGGAGCTCTCAAAGGATGCAGAATCTCCTGTAACTTAGTTTGTCTTTAGTAGTATCAACTCCAGCGAAGGAAATACTTTCCAATGATTTAGAACTTACTGCCTTCATAACTTTCCGAATAGGATGTGAAGTTAACGTTTCACCAGTGTCGTTTATCAAAGAAATCTCTTTGAGATTTGTTGCAAGAGGTAAGAGCTCTAGTATAGGCCGTACTGTAGTGCCATACGGTTCGAATCTAAGCCCCACAGAACGCAATCGATTCAGAAAGCTTTTGCCAAGAGCAAATAAAGTAGCGCAATCATGCAGTCGAACATCTTGTATGTGGATTTTGAGATCGATACTTTCATGGACATTTAAGAAATTGTTGATTGCACAAACCACAGCCTTTGTATGAACGCGATACCGTCCTACAGGCGAGTCAAACTCTTCTGGATCATATTGGATTGTGATAGTGTCGAATCTCGTGGAAACCTGACGTGCATTAGTGAAAATGGAAAGCAAACGGTCTTCAAGTTAGAGTTTTTTGGGATGCCTATCGCACTCGCGATCTATCCTAATGATGAGCTCATTAAGATACCGACACGGTTGCTCCTTCGTAAGGTCTTCAGCTTGTGACATGCTCTCGTGCTCTAGATTGAATGGTATAACACGAAAGCACTTTTGGTCGGAAGTAGCCTTGCCGGTATCGTAAATGTCGCTGCAACTTGCCAGCAGACACCGGCCATTTTCGATGGGAGTCCAGGCGGTACAGATATTAGAGAGGAGGCCATTCTATGTATCATTAGAAGAATGATGAAGACCAAGATAGAACGACTGAGCTTGAAAATATTAAGATTTATGGTATGGAGATAGAACCACAATCGGCTTCAAATCGCCAAAATGAGTTCTCTTGTGGAGCCCAAAAGTGCAACTTAATCCATTGCGGACACTTGAACAAAAGTTGGTGGATCAGTAGTCGACCTTTTCATTCCAATGGTGACTTCGACTTCAGACAACTCAATGGTATAATACTTTTGGTGAGGCCAAAAGGAGGCTTGCTGGATTTCTAGCTACTCGAGTCGAGGCTTTTCATACTAGTGAATAATGCCCGATGTTTAAAAAGTGCATCTAAAAAAACAGGGTGGCACGTTCCCGCCCGCCTGACCATCGCACGGGTCACAATGGTGAAGTTTACCACTGTGTCGTGTGCATGAGCTGGATAAACAGGCTTTATTCATTCTCTATTACTTTCCATTAGATGCTAATAGAGGAGAGCTTATTCCCCTTAAACCTACATTCATTCGACTTTTTGGAAACGTTGGCCTCAGTGCCTAAGATTGAAAAAAGGATGAGACAAAACAAAGTCTTGTAGCCTAAGGTATTGTTTGTGAAATCAATTTTTGCGTGATCTGAATATTCTCTATATTAAGATGACTCTGCACCCAGAAAGAGGAACAATCTTGAAATAAATAAATAAACTAGCTAAAGCTCTAGTGATGCCAACAGTATTCGAGAAGAACTCCAAATCCCCTTATCACCTATTATTACCTACGTCCGGCACGCATATTTACAGTTTGCGCCTGTAAGTTAGTTTATCATATTGTCATAAGTTCGCGCACTGGCAGTCGTGAGCTTGAAATACTTAAGCCACTCCTCGATATGGGCACCAGCTCCCACATTGCCAGTCTCCATCTGGATGTGGCGGGAAGACCTTGCGAGTAGACCGTAGTATAACGAATGGATTGTTATCAGTTCTGTGTTGAATAAAGTCCTCGATTGCTTCGTCGCCAAGAACTATGCGACCATGTTCTATCAATCCAGACTTAACCTCTATAGATTCTTCTGTTTGGAAAGCCCCTCTTATACATATCGATTTCAAATTCAAAAGTTTTCTCATCTCTATAAAAACAGTTTCCCAGGAGCCAGTTTTTAGTTCGAGCTCTCGGAAACTAACTGTTTTCAAATGAGTAGCATGTTTGCTGAGGAACTCAATCAAGCAGAACGAATCTTCAATAACTGCCAAGTCCATCTGGAAAATCTGTAAGCGACGAAGTTTAAAAGATTTCATAAACTTTGACGTGAGAGGTTTTTCGTGTTGTGAGACAAACTGTAACCATAATTCTTCGAGCAATGGTGCCGAGTGAATGAAGGCGGATAGCCCATCAAGATTAATAACACGACTTTCCAGTCTAATATTCAATCGCTTTAGTTTTCCGAAAGCATTTTGATATGATTCGAGTTTTGCCATAGTTAATCCTTCTATTGTGCTAAGCATAGCAGGCACATGTAAACGTTGGAGTTTACGCGCAGTGCTCCAGTTTTCGAAATTTTTGATATCTTCGATGGATCCAAGTTGGAGAGCTTCAATTCTCGTACTTGAGATGGAAAGGGCGTTTGTCATAGCATCGAAAAGCCTTCTTCCAAGTGGAGATTGTGCAAAGACGGTATTTACTTCTGGCTCGATTATATGAAATATATCACCATATCGATCACTAAAGTCTTGCATAAAATTGATAGCGCGAAGCCTTTTAAACGAAGGTATTGCTTTGTTAAAAATACCTATGTCCAGGTCACGGGCTTGTAAACGAGTTTGATGTCGATTGCGAGGCAAATATTGTAGTTCATACATCCTATGAACCTTATATATTTCTAATTGGCGCCAACCAAAGACCAAATCAATAAATTCGGGTGAAACCGTGTCAAAGGCTTGAAAATAGCAAGATAAACGTCGAACGCTATTGGCTGCTGGGGATTGCGATAGTTTCAAAAGGTTTGAATATCCTTTTATATCATTAATAAAAGTAATATGCTCGAAATAATAATGTCTTCCTATGGCAGCTAGTTTTGTGCATACCAAACGACTCGCAAGAATATCATTCTTATTTCCATGAATATTAAAATTATCATCCACGTAATAAAGAAAATTAAATATTTTTGATAAAATCTCGTTCGGCAAATAAAGTATCGTGGCCATTAAACGTGAATAATAATATATAGAGATTAAAAGATTGAAATAATTGTATCGATTTATATAATGATTTAAAATTCAAATAAATTGTTTAGTATTACATGCGAGAATATCTTTTCTAATATCCTATGCTCAATATCCAAATTGTATCGTTCTCAGGAGCCCAAATTTGACCATCAAAAGAACTTGGGGATCGAAAACAGTACAGGCACCGGGATCCCGTTGTAGTACCAGTCTAAAATAAATCTACTCTATACTTGGCATTAAACTCTTCATGTGTTGACGAGTTCATCTTAGTCACCCTTCGTGGCAGTTATATTCTCGCGTTGCAATGTTGTGGTAGCCAATATTAATTCGTTCAGCTCACAAAAGACAAAGATGGCAATTATAAAGGCCGTTGAAGTGAGTTTGGCCCAGTCGAGTCATACAGAATACAGAGCGCTGTTCGAGAAGGATACAATCAAATTACTGGTAGATATTCACATAAGTTTTGAAAACAAAGTTCATACTTCATTGATCTGTGCGCATCCTCATTACAACCCTCGCACTATTGGAATTTCTTACAGTACAACGCGATCCTAGCCTTCAAGCCAATTCCATCATTCGTGGCTTGCTAACATGAACGAGAAAACCTAGAAGATTTCGTTGCTTATTCAGAACAGAAGACAAATGTCCATCTCTACCACTTTGGGCTCCCTGGAGAGCTCTCTGTCTGCTGATTGTAAGTGATCGCCTCTCTTGAGCTTCGGAATCCATAAGAGTGCCGTAGCCCTTGATCGGTTGGGTCATGCTTAAAAAGCGATGGATTTGCAGCGATGTCTGCTACTGGCTTGGCTTTTACAAATGTAGTAAGCTAGTATAGCTGTCTTTTGTTGTAGCTGAGGGTCTAGATGAGCAGATGGATGGTAAGCAAGAAGATCTCATGTGCTGAGACTAGTTTGTAGACACTGGTCCGAGGCCGAAAGTGTTGAGTGCAGGCTGGGAACGAGATTGAGCGCGGTAAAGATCCATACGAGCACGGTCACGGACATCCATGGACTTTCGGAGGCGGTGCTTGGAATAGTATCTATAGATGACTACCGAGTAAAGCAGGAGGGTAATACACTCTAGAACAACTTCAATGAGGCAGCACACCAAGGACCATGACTATTACCTGCACTTTGCAGACTAGTGCGTAATCGACTGTGTCGACAAAAGCCTGTTGTCTGCGCATGACCATCCCCAGACGTCCTTGTTCTGCTGACAATGCAGGCCTTGACAGCCAAGACTTTCAAATCGCACGCTGGAGAGAACCAGCAGCAATACCCCACGTAACGGTGCTGAAAATATACCACCCCAAAAACTGTGTGATAGAAACTTGCTCTCTTAACTAGCGAAATATCTTCACATATTCTTTGCCAAAATCAATTCTTTATATAGCATATCCATCGACTTCTCAAAATTAACCCTAGCTTCAGCAATTTTCAACGTCGTCTGTTGCAACTCCTCTTCATGTCCTGTTCCCTCAAGCATCATTCTGCTGTGTGTTGAGTGCCGGAAGCCATCGGCACACGTGTCGCCAATGATACTGTCAGAATACTTGGGACTATTGTACTGAATGCCATCATTCAGTTTCTGATTTCGAATCGTGATATCGTTGTTGTGGAAGAGGAATGGTGCGCAAACGATCCGAAAACCTTTTTTGGGCTGTGCGAGTGGTGCAGCGCGGAAAGAGAGGACATCTTCAGCCTTCTCCACGGTAAATTTGTTATGGCGGAAAATTTGAGGCATGAACAGAAACATATTGGGATTCTAAAAGAATATTAGATATTGATCGTTATTGCTGAGGAAAGCTTACGTGTTGTCTGGTCTTTGGTTGAATAAAAATTGTGCTTCGTTTTTGGGGAGTGAATTGGTCCGGAAAGAATTGAGCCATTTACTCAATATCATATATTAAGCGTAACTTATATTAATAGCTTGAATCTCCGTTTGAGATTCTCTGCTCTGGTGTACTGCTACGCCGAACTAAAGTGCACTAAGTCGCTGCCCCTGGTCGCTGCGGTCTCTGCCCCTGGTCTTTGCCCCTGGTTTTTGCTCCCGGTCTCTGGCCCCGGTTCCTGCTCCCACATCTCTTCACCTTCTAGTAACTTATAGCATGAAATGACGGAAAGACGTCTTCTTACTTCTGCAGATTTTCGGCATCCGTAAGTAAAACGCAGATGATCGTCGGTACGGGCGGGGTACTAAGGAAATATCGTTATTTAAATCTAAACGTTCTAACTTAGGCAGGGTTTCACGTCAAGATCCACGAAGCTTACTTTCTGGTTCGTCAGGACAATCAGATCTCTTGTCACTGCAAATGTAGGATGTTTCATTCGAAGGAGTATGATCAAGTGAAAGTGAAGTCTTAATTAAATACTGTAATTATCAAATGATGGGTGTCTAAACGAGGAAAATTTGTTGGCAGTCCTGGTCCGCCGCAATCCCTTTGGCATTCACCTGCCCATGCTACAAACAGCTGACTTTATTACAGCATCGTTTGCAACCCGCATTTGGCATCTTTACCTCATCCACTTCACCTACATTCCCAGCATTGCCATTCCCTCGCAATGGTTCCATCGGCGCCGTAGCTTAGCCAACGGCATCGGTGCTGCGGGATCTGGTATCGAAGGGCTTATGTTCTTTTTGGTACGGGTAGCTATTAGCAACGTCTCTCTGGTCTGCCACTTCGCATTACTGGGCTCGTCAGTGGATCCATGAATATTCTAGCAACAGTTGCCATCGAGAGCCGCAATCATATCATTCAGCCAAAACAACATCCGTTTGACATGGATCTTCTTTGCCGTTACGATGTCATGGTGGTCCTTGCCTGGGCATTTGTGAGCATGTTAGGCTACATAACTTTACTCTTTTCCATGTCAAACTTTGCGAGCTCGATAGGTCTGGGTGAATCTCCATCTGCCAATGTTACAGCCTTTCTAAACCTGGGTACTGCACTTGGAAGGCCGTTCATTGAATTATCAAGTGATTATTTTGGTCGAATCCAGGCTGCGGGATTCATGATTCTTTTATGTGCACTCTCAGTCTTTGCAATTTGGATCCCAGCTACCTCATAGAGTTACAATTCTCTTTGTAATTATCAATGGGGCAATACTGGGTTTTTTTTGAGTTGTAAGTCATCTGCCGACTCGCCGCTCATTTCTTAGACTAACCTCACATGGAGATTATTGGGCCAATATGTACAAAAGTCGTGGGACTTGATCCCAGTGATAGGAATCGGGTTTACGCCACCTGACAAGCGGGAACCGTTCCCTAAAACTAAAACCAACTAACAAAAATCAATTTCTACCCAGCATGACCAGCAGCAATAAACAGTCTCTCCCTCTTCATCCCCAAACTCAACACGGTGGCAAGTGCACCAGCGGTAATAACAAGGATATAGGTTTTGCTCATGGCAGAGACAATTGCCTTCAATACCTCCGTTTTCACAACATCGCTCAAACTAGCAACAAAAGCACTACCAGCACCAGCAATAGCCTGCTGGACTTCAGCCAATGGCGTACCAGGCAGAAGTTCCGCGATCGAGGTTTGAGATTTATTAAGGAAGACTGAGTTCGCAATAGCTAAAGCGATAGTGACGCCAGAGACCTGTGCGCAAGTGATAAAGCCTACAGCTGAGGTGATGAGTTGTGGGTCCACGATAGCTTGCGCTATGGAGAAAGAAGCTTGTGCAAACAGACCGTCGCCGAACCCGATGATGATGCTGTAGCCATACACTCTTGCTACTGATGTCTCGGTATCCACGGTATACATGAGCGCGCCGCCGGTTAGGCAGAGGAGACCGCCGAGCGTGTACCAGGGCATGTAGTAGCCGTAGGTAGAGAGGATGGCGCCATTTCCGATGACGGCGAAGATCATGAGCATGATGAAGGGGAGGAGACGCACGCCTGCTTCGAGGGCGGTGTCGTTGCGGGTGAACTGGAAGAAGATCGGGATCATGTAGATGGGAATGAAGATTGCGGTTCCGCCTGCAGCGGTCATGGCGAAGAGAATGAGCATAGTCCTCGACTTGAAAAACTCCACTGGGAAGATACGTCGGCTAGTGGTGGTGAAAATGGCGTAAACTTGTTGAAGTCCCAAGAGGATGAAGAGGACGCCAGAACAGCAGAAGAGGCCGATGGTTTGTTCGGAATTCCAGTCATAGGTTACACCGCCGAAGGATACGGCCATGACGCCGGAGGCGAAGGCTCCCATGGTGAGAACACTTCCGACGTAGTCCATCTCACGAGCGCGGTCCATCAAAGGGATTCCCGGGCGGGGGTCTTTGTTGGGGAGTATGAACAGATAGACGGGGGCGCAGGCAGCGCCGATGCAAAGGTTGATGTAGAATGCCCATCTCCATCCTGCTGGGCTGTCCGAGAAACCACCGCCGGTGACGGGTCCAAGAACTGTCCCGAGACCCCAGGTTAAACCAGTACCGCCAATATACATGGGACGTTCGTGAATAGTCGTCGTTACAGCGAGAAGAGTCATGACTCCAACGTACATTCCCGAGCCGGCAACACCGCAGATGGCCCGTCCGATGATGAGAGCATCCATAGATGGCGCGGCGCCGCAGATAGCGGAGCCTAGTTCGAAGAGCAAGACGCACAGTATGTAAGTCCATTTGGCATTAAACTGCCCGAAGATTTTGCCCCAGATCAAGTTGGTGGCTGCGGCACCGATGAGGAATGCTACAGAGAGCCAGGTGAGGTTTTTAACGTCGTTGAAGTGCAGGACGATGACGGGCTGGATGTCGGCTACAATGGTGTTGTCAAGTGCGAATAAGAAAGTTGAACTAAGGATGGACAGAACGACGACTGCCCATTTCCAGCCAGTGATGTCTCGTAAAGGAAGTTCTTCGGCAGTTTCTGCAGGTTGTTCAGATTTCTCCGGGTCCACATCTGTGGTTGAGGAGTTCTCAGAGACGTCTCGAGTTTCCTTGCTGGAGGCTGCGAGGAAATTGCTGTTTGACCCTGCTTCTGCTTCCCTTTCATTGAGGATATCTCCTGCGGTTGAGCCCGTGGAGCTTATCTGATTCTTTTCCGTCATTTTTTTTTTCAGGAATAAGCAATGGGGCTGATTTAAGAATGGTACATCCCGAGAGTGATGTGACTAAGGAATATTGAAATAAGCTCTGAGCATTAAATAATGTTTAAGAAATAGCTTTGAGTAGGTAAGATGTCAAACCAAAAGAAATCCAGGCTGAGGAAGTTGATATAGAAAGATAGGGCCCCTAAAGATGCTCACTTGATAATAACTATCACCACAAGTCTAATATCAGCACTACATCATAGCCGGTTAGAACTTGTAATATTCTCCTTCGCAATGGGTAGCTAAGTCGCGGTGTGATAAAATTCTCCGTTAGCCTGGTTTGGGTGGCTGTAAATTTTGTTTAATGGTGTATAGATATGCAAATCTCAACGTTAGCTCCACCACATCGATTGATCCAGTGTGTGATGTATCAGCGCCAAAGAGGCACCTAAGAACTAAAGTGCCATTGAGTAACGGAGCCCAGACAGACTCCGATGCTAAGCTAGTAGTTCGAGAGATATTAGATCATGGTTGTAAGGAGGCATTATTTGTCTGTGCCCCCTGTCTTTGCCCCCTGTCTTTGCCCCTGGTCTCTGCCACCGGTCTCTGCCGCACAGGACTGCCGTGGTTCGAAAATTAAAAGTTCGGGTGAAATTATATTCGACTATCCATCTCCGACTATGCTTCAATTGACATGACGTCCATTACGGGCTGATATCATGGTTAGGTGTCTGCGTGTGTAAGCACCATTGCGTGGACTGCATCTCTAGCAAGGGTTAGTGCGAGAGTGTCATGCCGCAAATATTTTGTACCTTTGAGTACTAATTTATATTTAAAACTTGCCCGGCATGTCGAGTTGTAGTTATTTCATTTTCATCCCCAACTCCTGCACACGTTGTTGTACCTATTCTGGTGTTTTATTGCACTTTCACTGAGCAGCATCGAACATGGCCATTTTTCACCTTCCTTTCCTCTGGTTCAGCAGCCTTACCCAGCTCTTCTTGGGAACAGGTATGCAATCGATATCCTCAATGCCCTCACCTAGCCCTACCAACCAACCGCATTACACATTTGACGAACTTTACAATCTCCAAGTCAAATTCTTCGATAATTTTATCTACCCAGCAGACATCACTCAAGCCAAGTCTATCAACTCAACGCTGCTAGCAGAGGATGTACAGGGGCGGATTGACGTCACAAGGACATTTAATGGCCGGGAGCTCAACACAGAGTATCTCTTTGGGCTTTTTGCAAACCTCGCAGCGGATCCCAACTCCATCAGCTTGTTAGGAGTTCCAATTTCATATAATATCTTGCATTTTGCTGCTAATGAATACATCACCTCGGCTGCTACTCGATTCATGTTCAACTTTACCAGCCTTGGTCTTATTATACCTATCGAGATTGATAGCTGGAATACTTGGAACGAAGCTGGGCAGGTTACGCAGTATGATGGGAGCTTTAAGTATTGGCAATGGACGGTTGATTATATAATTGCTTCAAGGTATCTCTCAACTTCATATCTGCGATTAGAAGTTGTCTAAGTCCAACAGTGTCCCTTTATTCAACGCTACTTCGCCTACTCAGGTGGTTGAAATCCTCACTAGAGTATTGGCGAGCAGTATTTGTGAAACAGCAACAACTTATTGCAATGGTACAAATACACAGTATAGCAATCTGGCGGCGTGCTATCAATATCTCACCCAGGAAGTGCGGTTTGGCGAGGCGTATGAGTTGGGTAGGAATACTGTATTGTGTAGAATGGTCCATCAAAATATGGTGCCATTTCGACCATCTGTGCACTGGTATGTTGATTCTTGACTTCTATGACTAATACACTGCTGACTGCGTCGAGTCCTCATATTGGGCCTTCAGGTGGTGGATACTGTACCGATGATACGACATATATTGGGACTGTGGAGGAGAACTATTTCAAAATTTCATTTATACCCTATGGATATTAGGTCAGGAGACACAAGAGTAGACAGTGCCTCGGATCCTGATCCTTGACGAAGCGATGAGCAATGTGAATGCAAAGACAGACGAGCTTATGTAGCGTATCATCAGGGAGGAGTTCGCTGAGCATACTCTCTTGACGGTAGCTCATCGATTGGATATTATCCGAGACGCTGATACTATTCTTGTTCTCTGCACCCACACATCTATATGTCCACGTCTATATCCCTCAAAAATTAGGTCAATCGATCAAGCTCCTTTCTACGTCCTCTCAACACCTCCTGTTTGTCGTTTACGTGCTAGGAATACTGTCGCTTGCAGCTGTTTTATCCTAACCCTACCCCGCGAACGCTTTTCCTTCCCTCGATCGCCGAGCTGTGAGTTGGCAGCCGACCCCGAACTGTAACCCGACTCTCGCCCGTCAATACTGCTCCCCTACACTGCTGCCTTCTACCACCGCTCTTCCCGCCATCATGCAGTTCGGCAAGTCTGGCGTCTCACTCGCCCTTCCCTCTGAACCGATTGGCTTCCTCGGCCTCTTGTCTATGTGGCATAGACGTGGGGCAGAAACAAGGTGCAGAAACAGGGTGCAAAAACAAGGGGCAGAAGCAGGGGGCAGAGACCAGGGCAAAATTTAGGTAGCTCGAGCAAGAGTCCTAGAAGCGTCCAGATCCGGCTCTTGCATTAAGCAACTGTCCTGATTCTACTGATTTTTGCTATAGTAACGCCCTACATCGACCCAGACCGGATGTGAGTCTAAGTACCAGATTTAAAATAGATATTAATTTTTTTTTCTTTCAAAATGTACTATTTACCAACTAATTTATACTCATTCTTTAAATCTTCAAAAGGTTTTTGATAATGGCGCCGAAAATTCAAGTTCCTCCTAACACATTGCGGATGACTTGTCCTGAATCACATCGACGACGCTTTATAACAAAGGAGAACCAGGAGAGAATCCACCTAGCAAGCGAAGATCGGAAAGCAAGGCTTGAACTTCAAAATCGTCGAAGACAAAACAAATCGGCGGAGAATTACTTCTCTGAAGAAGTAGAGAAGGCCGAGGAGGAACTGAAATTAAAGGAGGGTTTCTTAAAGAAGCTTGCAAGAAAAGAGAACACCGAGAAAGGGTTTTCAGGGGAGGATAGTAAGGGAAATATGACAGACATAGAGTCGAACGTTCAAAGGGTGAAGCAGGAGACTACAGAGGCTTTGAGATATGTAGTTCCATGACCTGAAAAGAAGAGACACTCAATTCTAAAATAAGTAGAAGAAGATAGTAGTTCTCTCACTCAGGAGCGATCTACATCTAGGACGAGCTACCCAGCACTCCTTGAATTCTGGGATTCCCAAAGTCACTGAAAGACTGCCCCAGCCAGCTTTCTGCGTTGGTACGGCGCTCTTGGCTCACGAACCGTCCTGGGCTTAAACACTAACTACACTGGTTTTCGCACACCACGTGGTTCACAGCACTTCGTGCTTGGAAGCCAGATGGAGAAGTGGTGGTCTATTTGCCGTAATGCGAATCTCGACTGACCGATTGCCAATAACATACTCCCGGCATTCTAGAGGAATGTGTCGTGGGTGAGAAGTGGACTTTCTTCGGTGTATCGATATGCCGATAAGAAATTAGGTTGCGGGATTGCATGCTCTGCTCGTAAACTCTACTGAGCCAGAGGTGGAGTGACCCAGAGTCCTAGCTATTGATGAATCAAAACACCACAATCTTGAGAATAACAAATGTATCCACCGAAATTAGACATGTAATAACCCATGCGAACTTCCTTGCCTCAATATGCCAAACGTTGTGTCAACTGATCCATAGCCCTAACTCTCCTCTCTCTCCGCTCATGAATCTCCTCCGAGGTTCCTTTTTCTGCAATCTGGATCTCATCACTTAACACACCAGCCCGAAGAATATCACAATCCATATCTGAGAGGGGCAGTGGGATAGTCCAGCCAATAAAGGCTTTATTTCTTGAATTGTTGCCTTGATTACAAAGATCACTCCAGGCATTAATCGCTCGTTCTTGCGCAGGCGTTCTGCAAGTGACTTTGTAATGATCCATCCATGCCGGTAATGCAGCGAGGAATTTGAGCTCTTCGTGGCTTTCTTGGCGCTCTCTTGCTCTCGGATTGGCATAACTCATTTCGATATCGTCGACTCTCTCACAGATCAAATCCATGACTTGGCGCACCGCCAAGCTATCATTCTAGCTCCGTGTTAGCATTTATTAATTAAAAACCCAGCCATATATCACGTACTTCATCCTTCCCAATCGTAACGTCAACTCTAAACTCCCACTCGTTCTCCTCTGATATATTGACCTTGAGCTGAAATCACATGGCCGGATTTTCTATCACCTTGACCTTGCGCCTATAATCCAACTCGAATGTCAAGTTTTCGACCGTGACCTTCAAGACCTTTCCAGCTAGTGTGACATCGATACCGGGGGTGTGGAGATCGACGAAAATATTAGGATTGGCAAAGGCCACACGCTCAAGCATCGTGTCGCTACGGGCGAGAGCTAAGGATAGCTTTTTGAGGTGAACTACCAACCAGAATATGCGTCCCTAGGCATGTGGGGAATAGAAGGCTGTGAAAGGCATCGTGAATATTCGAGAAAGCGTAAGACTCGTTATTAATCTGCGATTCAAATATCAGCATACTTCCGATTGATAGGCTTTCGACTTACCGAAGTTGTATGCAACACGCGCGCTGAAGCTTTGTGATCGTAGGTATGTATCACAATGGAGGTCGTACGGTGTACAGCGGTGATTGATTGAAGGGGTTTGCTGCAAATGCGCGTCAAGCTATTGATCGGAGACGAGCTTGAGGCTTCGAGTGATGCTTTTTAAAAAGATTGTTTGGGTTGAAGTGTGATCGCAAAAAAGCTTGATCAAGTGGGAAGGTTGCTGTGGGGTAGATCGCGAAATGCCTGAAGCTTCAACACCGCGTCGCTAGCTCGGAACGCGTCTCACACGTGAGCTCGTCTCCCAAACAAGTCACTACCGACTATGCTTGATGATACATACGCCCAGGGAATCGAGAACCAAGCATAGTCCTGGAAACTGCGAAGCAATTTTCTCCTTCATCTGCAAGAGCGAGAGGCACATAGAACCTCAGCGACGACACCTGCTGCACGCCGTGCGACTGAGATAGACTGGCGGTATGCCACCAATCCTTATCTGCCACCTCGGGCGGCCCCAGGTTTTCGTTCTCGAGAGGATCCCGAGAAGCACATCTGGGAATACAGCTTTAAAGATTGTGAAGCAGATGATCGATCACTTTGACGCAATCGGTCGGCAGATGTGACATAACAGATTTGATAATTCTGTTTTTGATATGTTGACGCAGATGGTTTTTATTCTATCGGCTCAGATGTCCCTTACAGAGAGCAATTTGAAAATTCCTAGACTATCCCATCAATCCCCCGGCCCTCGCTACAATGTCCAACCTTGCAACCTTCGTAGAATCTCTCTTTGTGCGGACCTTTGCCTTTGCCCGAGAATTGTGGACGTTCTTGCTCCACTCCACACCATTTCTTTAGACGATACGCTACCCTCTCTGCATCGGAATCATCCAGAATTGGCTCACTTAGACACTTGCAAGACTGACTACGTTGATGGTACACTTTTGCATTATATCGTTCACTCTAGTACATGCGAATAGTAATAGCAACTCGCATGCTTCCCCATCCTTCCGACTGGCAATTGCGGTTACGGCACAAGAATCGGCCCATGATAGAGGTGTCGTAAGTTTGCATACTGCCGATGTCCTCGTCTTTTTTGACTTTGAAGTCGAGCTTGAAACCTTCGACACTATGCGCTCTCATTGTATTCCCTGCGATGGATCTTTCGATAGCGACACAAGCCTGAAGCAACACAAACGAATCTCACTCGCGCATGCCTTCAACTGCATGCCTTGCACCCATCGATTCGATAACGAAGAAGCAGCGGATAGTCATGGCGAACATGCCTGGTCCGTAATTGTCTGCACAACAGATAACTCCTTCTCTCCAGCATCATTGACTTCAATACGTGGACGCCAGATTGAGACAGATGCCTTCTTGCTTCCTTTATACTCTACGTCGATGCCAATTACGATACGAATATCGGCATCTGACCCAAGGATATACTCGTGTGCTAAACGTGAAAGATCTTGCTTTTTTTGTGAACAGGACAATTCGAGGATGACACCTGGAAATTGTGCTTCGAAATGTTGAAATGAGGCATCTGGCTGATGCGAACTGTATTCAATATCCTCAAAGCTTATTTCCGCGGATGCACTATTTTTTATGTTTCTTGCAAATATAGCTGAAGGACTATTGCCTTGGGCAATTGCACCCAATTGGCGTAGGAGCTCTTGCATAATATAAGATCCGAGGCTTTCGTGTAGTGAACTGGGCATCCGAAGGATATATATTTCAAGTCGTGGAAAGTAATCGTGTCTGTCCTCGCATGAGCTAAGCAGCAGCAAAACACTCTATACTCACAGAAATTTCTGTTCGTAGTGATCCCAGAGATTGTCCTTTCGGAGCTGGCGCTGAAGAAGTTCTTTGTACTGATAACCATCTAAAGAAACTCTAAGCTAGTGTTCGCCAGTAGGTATGCGATTCCCAGCCTTATGCTGTTTAACCGCTGCAAGAATGTGGGAGATGGATGGCACGATCTTCTCCTCGGTCGCAGGGGGCGTTGGTGGTGAGCTCGTAAAGCTTTCGGGAGGTGTGATTTGTAGTGCTTGTACAGTCATGATAGGAATTGATGTTAGACAAGCTACAAGAGAAGAGAAGAGACATTTTGTTGTTTGTGGTTGATGTTGTCGAATTTTTGGCGAGGTTTTAGTGGGTAAACATTTTTCCGAGCCCGCCAGGAGCACGCCAGTTGGCGTGCTTTGGCGTGCTCCATCACCTGTCGCCAATTTCGGATTTCTCAAGGATCGATGCCAAAATCAAAGATTCCCTGTCCACATTGTCATAGAAAGATTGATACTGGCCATTTGACCGAGCATCTACGATCATGCCAAAAACAAAAGTTAACTTGCAAGAAATGCGGAAAGAAAGTTGCTAGACTTCGCAGTCATTAATGCCCACAACCGAAACCAATCCCTCACCCTCAACTCTCGGCACATTTCAACATTAATGAGCACGACTGGAGATCGAGGTGCCCATTGGTATTTGACTACGGACTTGATGCTCTGTCAGCCCTAAACGAATCGAGTATCTCATTTTAAGATGGTCAACCACCGTCCCTTTATCAATCAAAGATTCAACCCTCTGAAGAATCTATCTATACTTTGGTGCTTAGCACGATTCGTCGATCATTAGATTATTAAGTCTTTTGTGATGGAGAAGTTTCGCCTGAACTTTGCGCCCACCATCAAACACAATCAAAGCGATTAACGAAATCTAAGCTTGATGATGAGAAGTTTAGAATGGCAACTATTGTTCTATACTAGGCTATAACTACAGCTCCACGCCGCACAATTTACTCTGTGTTAAATGTGTGGCCCCCAAATGTGTCAGAGATTTTGATACAGCCGCCCCAGCGCAATCAAGTTATCATTTTTGTACGGAAAGTTTTAATATTGGAATTAATGTGACGCCAAAGGGTTCTTTTGTGGATCTCCATCATGGTAAGTCTAGAGCGTACTTGTGTTGCCTCTGTACTGACTTAATCTAGATATTACTCGGCGAGGCCTATCCAAAACGATTGGTAAATGCAAGAAGATATGGCTTCTCTTTCCAAGCACGCCGGAAAACCTCGAGCTTTATATTGCATCGGCTGGGTTTAGCAATCGTCTTGCACGCATCGGGTCTAAACTTCGAGGGGGCATTATTGTTGAGACCGACTCTGCTCACGAGCTTGAGTTTCCTGCAGGAACTCTCCATGCTGTTTTTACGACCATTGGCGGATTCCTTGCCGGTATCAATTATTCTACAGCGGAGTGCCTCCCTACAATGAGTCGAGTTCTGAAGGCTCACTTACCCATCTTCCACATATCTCCAGATCATATTTTTAAAAATATCTAAGCGTATAGCAAAACGCTTTCTTCAATTTTGCAAATGGAACTCCCGAGTGTTTTATTCGATTCTCTTCAAAGCTGGGTGAATATACAACCTGCTCTACAAGAGCATTTGGATTCTAACCGAGCCACATCGCTATTTCGAGTACAAATAGAAGCATTAAACAAATGTCTTGATACGTTCGGGCGAGGTAGTCGAAGCGCATTTCGATGCGGGTGTGGAGAGCTCGTGGATAATATTGGAGACCATGTCACTAGCTCACATAGAATACTGCGGGCTTCATGAAAATCATAATAAATTTTGGGGGAATGTGAAACGCTTTCAAGGAGCTTGGCTAATATGCCTGTGCGGAGAACACTTGATGCATCGAAGAAGTCGCTAAGAGATGAGGGAAGTAGCCCTCGAGAGCTTCTCTGTAGATGAAAAGTTGTCATATCACAATAAACAGAGCTAGCGATGTAAAGTGCAATAACATAATTCACTAGAACAACTTTTCTGCAATTCAAAGGACTGGCTCCCCACATAGACTACCTAGCAACTTACCTCGCTTATAAGAAATAGGATCAAATCAATATCTTCTTGCCCATCTCAAGATCCTCTATCTCTTTCTGGAGTTGCTTTCGCTGGCGTTTTTGCCGAGCATCCTCTCCCGCGAGCGATCAACGGACCTTGACTTTTTGGGCGGCACTTATCGAGCTTTATAGTTGGATGCCTCCAAATCTCGGTAATAATCCCAGATTTGCTGCTAGCAAATATAGACAAGAGGTTGCGCTTTTTAAAAACCCTTTAATCGATCATGGAGGATAAAATACACGGTGAAACAGGCAAAACATTGTTGTTTGAAAAAAACTCGACATCGAGGCGCAGATGGACAATCGTTCGCAAGAAGGGGAAAGTTGGAGGTGGATTAGTGGTGGAGGAGGGTTGAAGTTGGAGCGGCCTTCAGGTTGATGTTGAAGTCGATGTTGAAGGATGTTAAAGTTGGAGCCGTGTACGAGCCACATTGAATAAGCTTACTATTGTGGCCTATGCACCACTCACTACTCTCATTCACATTTAGCATTCCCCCGCAACATTATTCTCTTCCAGTCTCCTTTTCCTGGCACTTAGATTTCGATTTTATTAGTCATTTGTATCGAAATCATTCTCAGACTTTGATCTCCTGAAATGTGCCTCATTGTTCAATGTCGTGGGACTGTCCATGGATGCCTTGGTCCAAAATTCGAAATCGGCTTCACACCCTTTCTCTAATAATTTAAGGTTGGTGCCACATTTTCTTACTGTACTACAGTACACTAGTGCGATAGTGGACTGATTACGTCCCCCTGTATAGTCAAAAGCGGAGTTCTGCCTAAGGATTAGGCGGTGAGTCGGCGAGCTCTTTCTGGTCACCGGCGACTAGTTCGACAGACTTCACCTTTCTAGGTCCAAGTTGATGTCGACGACTAATTTCATTAACAATCATACGTAACTTTATCAATATCAACAGCATAGAAGTAGCACTTCCATTCTTATCACCAAACATGGCCTAGGCCCATACCGATGACTCGAATAGCGACATGTATCAACAAGATTGGTTTAAATACGCTGCCTCCCATGGCTTTCCGATGCCAAGTTCGATGCTCACTCCGGCGGAGGCCCAACGAGAAGCTCGAGAACGATCGACAGAGGTTTTAGCGGGGTGGAACAAGTTGCGACAGATCCTTGAGAGACACGAAGATCTGCTGCGCAAGCGGTGGACCAAGAAAACAATATTACAACGAACGAATATCTTACGAGGAGCTTGGCCAAAAATTTCTTCAGTACATCGACCAGATTACAAAGCCTGGCGCAAGGAGGGTTCGAAGCTCAGTTCTGTTGGAACCACATCCAGAGAAGCGTACCTTTGGCCTTATATCAACGTCGAGGACTTGGTCAAGGGCAAGAACTTACTTCTGTTCCTCAACTCGAGGGGCCGATACTTTCCATACACATTTGCCCATACAGACTTTGAAGCAACTCACCTAGGCCGAATTACCGGAGCCACTATGCCCGCATTCCTCAATCTTCATACAATGCTCCTGAATGGAGAAGGAGTCGAAACTTACGGATGCCTTGTGGCTTGGGAGGATGATGAAGATGCGATGATGAAAGTGTTTACGGGTCATGAGTATCAGCCGGGCGAGGCGCTATTGATTTTGGAAATTCAACAGAGGATATTGCAGTTCCTCGTGGATTGTTGTCACATCATTCTTCATGACTTTACTCACAATGCGTTAGTCGCTGAAGCACCAATCGAATCAGAACCCCCTCCAATCAAAGACACCTTCAAATGGCCGACTTGGGCGTCTATATCTGCAACAGCCCCCTACCGTGTTCCTGCCGCACTTGATTTCAATCATCTTAAGGCTCTGACTACTTCCAAGCGCAATATGGCCGAAGGTCACATTCGAGACTTGAGAGAAGATCCCAGTTACTTTGCGGACGTGGTGGGAGACTGGAGCGAGCACCGGCAGGAAAGGTTATTGGATACTAATGGAGTTCGCCATCCAATACTAGAAACCCCATTGTTCTGGGATCGGGTTATACGCGATGTCGTTTCGGATGCCTACGGGTCCTTAATTAAGTGGGATATACTCAGTGAACAGCTTAAACAACTAGCCACTCTTCAGGAGCAATACTCGCGTGTCATCTCATCGCAAACATCGCTTCCACCGGAATACACCAAGGCACTTTTAACTCTCAGATACACGCTTGGTCAAGTGAAGAATATCTCGATTACCAAACTCAAGACTGGGACTCCAGCTTCTCCTCCTCTCCGTTCTATCTGGGTCAGAGAACCCCATATCCCAGGATCTAGCATTATTCGATTGAAGACTAGAAAGGGGTTGGACTACATGTTATGGCTATTCCACACTCTTTGGACGGACGACCAACTCGCACTACTACGCCTTCCTGGACTGATGGATGAGATTGAGAATATGATAAGTGATGCCAAAGAAAGTACAAGACTTTCACCTTGGGTTGCACGAGTATTTTCCGACCTCGGTTTGATCGGGCGCGTAGGACACGAATTAGATATCTATCAGCCGTGGGCCTCTAGCTTTGATCATGAATTCATCAAATACAAGGCTGAGATTGAGGAGAGCTATCAGTCGCGATTTGCTACCGCAGCAAAGGTGAATCGCATTCTCAAAGGGTTATCACTAGCCCGATTAGGGGAACCTATTAAAGGCCGCTTCTACTACCCATCCGACAAACGACGGACGAAACAAAACACAGAGAGTATGCGAGCAGCAGAATTTAATCTGGATGTTTTCTGGAAAGAAGTTGACGACCATTTTCTACAAGAGTCTGGATCATCTCTAGACGAGGCTGTGCAACATATCTTCACGGAGATGCGTCAATTAGAGCGAACTGCAGATTGGGTTGAGCCTACTCAAGAATGTGAAAACAATCTCTTGAAAACAGATGAACACGCTTTGCTGCCCGATCTCACTCCTTATGCCTCTGCGGATATTCCTACACGATTTGCTCTACCGGAGTTGAAAATCAAGGCCAAGACGAGGGGCTTAGCAAAAGATACTTCCGAAATCGTACCGAATATCCCGCTGCCAGAAGAAACTACAGTACCTCAACCTATATTTGTACTCAACAAACGTGCCTTCAAAGTCTTCCGGACCTTGTTCTTCAACTCCTCTAATTCGGACCTGCCCGGCGAAATTCCCTGGACGGACTTCCTCTACGCTATGCAGTCAATTGGATTTGCTGTTGAAAAGCTCCACGGTTCGGCCTGGCAGTTTACACCTCTGACGCGTGATGTTGGACAAAGCATTCAATTTCATGAGCCACACCCAACCACGAAAATTGCCTTCCGCAATGCTAGACGAATTGGAAGGCGCTTGAGTCGAACATATGGATGGCATGGAGGCATGTTTACACTTGCCTGAACCAGAAGACTGCGAGGAGCCTGGAGTGATTTTGATGTTCTTTATGTTTTTCGTCCTTTCGTATCGCTCAAACTTTGAGTACCGGTTTTAACATTGCACTAGTGAACTCCGGCTCAAGAATTCTTGTAGCTAAGCAAAGCATCTGGCCCCCTGAGCCAACACCCTGATTGACACTCAAATACTCGTGAATGTCTCAGCAACTCCAGGTCTGAGGCCTTGATCCAGAACGGCCGAGAGAGGTCGATGCGCAGGAGCAATCACGCATTCGAGCGGCCGCATCACGTGGTATCTCGTTGAGTGAATTGGCATTCTCACAGCCGGAATCCGAGAACCCTACGACGGATCTCAGCTTTGAACGGTGTTGGTCACAGTCTTGCTAATATTTCAGACGCAGGGTTTGCAAATGATTATAGGCGTCATTGGAGTGTAACACTTGGTATGGCGATATATTGAAAAGGTTTGTTTATTAAAAGATCAACGTAAAGTGTGCAACCATCAGCGTTCGGCGCTCATCACCGTGCCTGCCCTTCCCCATGCATGATATCAATGTGGATAATGATATCTCGATTGAAGGGCCTATAGTCTGTGGCGTCGACAGTCTTCGCAGGCCAGCATATGGCAACGTTTGCAAGACAATATGTACTTCCAATGTCTCGTGCCACACATCTCGCAGACCTTGCCGCGGCGCGATCCTTCCAGTTTGGTGAACTTGCCACTATGGTCGCACTCATGGTTTGTTTGTAGTTCCTGTACCATAGCCACCACGCGCTGTTGACGAATAGCAGGTGCCAAGGGCCATGGAGCCTCTCTGTCAACAACTTGCTGAGCTCTTCGATCGAGTAGTTCCGGCACCCAGTCACCACATGGGCATTCCTTCCACTTCACTCCACATCTGTAGCAGAACTCGGCGCTGCATCTACAACTGTGATTTGGATCAGCTTTTACTTGCACCACGAGTAGCAGTAGGTATCACTCACGTCATGTGGTCACAGCCCTCATACCGAAACACCATTTCACCGCATCCAAAACAGGGTTTCCAGCCTTGCTCATCCGCGAAATTGATGAGGCTCTGCTTTGCTTCATCCGCTGGACATCCTCCATCATGTGCAAGTGCTTTGCAATGCATACAAGTTTCAGCACTACAGGCCCCACAGGAAGCGCAATCCGCTGTTCGCTGCGGCATGGGAATGAACTTGGCGCACTCCGGCCTAGCACAGTAGACTCTATCCGTGCTGGTAAATTCCAGCTCAGCACTTCGATAGGCAGCCAACTCCTCGATTGAGAAGTCCGCCTCGATAGTCGAGATATCAATCGCCTGGCGGTGACATGTTGGTGGGAAAAGGCTTTCGTCCTTAGCAACACGCAGGAAAAAAGACTTGAGGCACGGCTTGCAATATACATCGCCGCATACCAAACGCACAGTAGCATGAGGATGAACGGCTTCTCCACAGACACTGCATTCCACTTTGAGCTGGGGCAAGTGCTCAAGGAAAACTTCCTGGCGGAGAGTGTAATAGGTCGATGGGCCCGCAACAGTGCTATAGGACCGGTTGCTGAGAGTTGGTGCTTCTATAGCTCGCAGGACATGGTCCCAGTCAACCGACTCCGCTCCGAGGCGAGACATCTCCGGCAAATCGGTGGTATCCTGGGATAGTAGATTTCCATCTTCATTCAAGCTCAGGGCGAAGTCTCGATCTTGAATCGACTGTGTCTCCTCAGCTCTTGATTCTTCAATGGCCACAGCATCAGAAGCAACAGCTCTAGCAATGCTGTGAGCGAATTTCAGGTCCTCGACTAGAAGAAGCGCCTTCTTCAACTCGGTCTCGAAGTCATCGAATGCTAATGAAAAGTCCGGAGGACTACCCTCAGTCCATTTGCCGGACTGAAGCTCACGCTGAGCTTCGATCTCTTCGAGTTGAAGCTGCAGAGCGAAGCTCTCGTCATCGAATTGGAGGAAGGGATCAACGCATGCCATAATTGACGCTGGTATACTTTGTTTGTCCGAATCTGATTGTGAGATGATTTGGTGTTGAGGGAGGTGTGAAGAGATGAACTCTCGTTAGGTCATGAGCTTTACCCAAATTTGGTGGAGAGAAATGATCTGGGGCATAACCTCCAATGGATCGTTGTCCATTTGCCAGACCCTTGGCGAAAGACCCACATACAAACGTTGAAAATCCTGCCAAAGCTTGTTTAGATGCGCTGTGGCTATTGGATGCCTCGATAGCCAACGAAACCAGGAAGAGACCATTAGGCGGTCAGGAGCGGAATTTCGCATGGAGTTGGAAACCAAAACATCAGATTTTCCTGGATATTCGTCGTTTGCTGCCGATATAAAACTTTGTCAATATTGGATATTGGTCACAGGAGATGGAGGCTGGGGATGCGGTACCGTCACTATTCCCAATCAGGTTAGACTATCGTGTTTCCGACGGCTTGGAGCAGAACCTCAGTCATAAGGGATATATGAATGCATAAAGCGTTTTGTGCGTTGTAGAATAGTTCAGAACAACCCATTATACATGCTTTTCTAGCAAGCAGTCACTTTAGATGTAAGCCAAAAGGTAATGAAACTGATTGCTGCAGAGAATCCAAGATCTAAGTACTTGAACGGTCTTCTTCAATAAGTTGTTTCTCTGAACCCTTAAACAGCAGTTTATAATGCCGCACCCTAGATCCGGAAAAATTACATGGGATTAATTTGCCGTGATTTTCCATAACGCTGCCTGCTTCTCGGCACTATTCCAAGTAACGAAAGCAATTGGAGGCGGCGAGGAATCGTGCAGAAGCAAACAGAAACAGACGAAAATAGTTATTCCAGCCACTGAGCACTTTGTCTCATCGTGGAGAGGTGCATCTGCGGGTTTCCGCTAGTCTCCTGCAGATCTCGTTTGCTGGTCTCGGGAGCTGAAAGCGTGAGCTAAGCAGAAGGGCAAGGTAAGCTAAAGGAATTTCGCATATGCAAAGTGCCTTGTAGATCCATTTTTATGTTCCTACAGTCTTTGAAAATGTACGATTAAAGGGTAGGGGATCAGGGTACTGCCGCCGTGCTGCCAAGAAGAAGGGCTTTTCTAGCCCTATTCGGGTAATACAAAGGTATTGATTACGGCTCTCAGCATGATTTTGAGGTCATATCCATGTTTAAAACGTTGCTCCTTAACTCCGGTCATAAACTCTTTTTCTACCTCTAGAAATGGGCGGATTTGCGGCGTAAATCCAGAATCCGTAGGCGAAATGACCCTGGATCAGGGGGAGGGCACAGACCAGTTCACCATA